AAAGGTGAGAAATTTTTTTTTTTTCAAGTAGGTCATTAATAAAAAATATTGCTCCTGGGCGAATATTTCATGCACCAGCGAAGATTAGGGATCTTTAGGAGTCGCGTTTTCATTCTTAATTGTTGGAATCTGTCCTATAGTCTCATTTATGTTCAGTGAGAACTGTTAAGTTCTAGCGGGAGGGGGAAAAAATGAGGGAAGTTCGTTTCGAAAACCTCGAAAATGTGCGTGAAAATCGATTTGTAAATGGAATGCAAGTGCGTAGTTCATGGATTTAGCGAAGGAGGAAATCCAGATTCAGCGCATGTGCATGCACGCACTCGCAGGGATTAGTTTGAAAGAGAGGGGAGATGCTCCTCAGTTTCATAGCACCCATCTTACTATGGTGAACCACTTGGACAACCTGAAGCTACCGCGAAAGTATAGAAACCCTTCTTTTTTTCAGTACTAGAAATTCCCTTCCTCTTTCATTCTGATTGTGCACGTTGGATCAACCCCGATTCAATGGGCTTTCAGTTAAAATTCAAAAGGGCAATATTTTCTTAAGTAAATTACGTTACTTTTTCTTTGCTCAAGTTGCTGTAATCATGTCAATTTTTAATTTCAAACGTAATTCTAAGTAAGTGGAGAGGTTTAACCGAGATTCTAGAATAAAGAGTCATTACCTAAAGGGAAATCAAAATCAGAGCTTAGCAGATTGCCCTAAATGCAGACCACCCTGTAGTATTTGAACCACTGGGCTGAAAGAGGTGAACTTTTGGCCTTTTGGGAGTTTACTGTAGGAGAGCACAGTAAATCAATTTTACATTGCTTATCAGTGTGCCAAGTATGTCAATTTAACCATATTCTGATCATGCATGAATGGCTAATCTGCTCTAAAACAGAAGAACCTACACTTTTGAAAAGAAGGCAGTTGCACCATTAAGTGTCTGGGTCTGCGCCAAGGTGATCAGATCCCGTTAGTCCCATATGAATACGTGTAGGCCGAACGAGGGGAAAACGGTCACCCTACAGACGTTTAAAAAAGTATCTTCATTCCAAGAGCATAAAACGAATCGTCACAGAACATACGAGCAGATACGGATGGACATCAATCACGAGAAAGGTTGACTGTACAGATTGTGGCTTGAAAAAGAGGGAAATTCCACTTTCGAGTCAGGGAGCACATCCGTTCGACTCAGTGCGGAGTCGTTTGAGTCAAATTAAAACACCTACGACAACGCGGTGTCGCATTTTGGTGGTCCTATACCGTACACCTTTTTCCTTCGCTAAAGATATATTCCTACCATGACTTGACCATTGAAAACAGGTTGCTTCAGAGGGGAACGAAACAAGATGGTCGTTCCCTGGGTTGACCATTATGGGTCAAAAAGACGCAGGAAGTGTTAATCGGACAGAAATATAGTTCGATTTTCGTTGATTTCCCATGCTCATTTATGACTAGATAGAACTTGACTTCCTATTTACTCTTCGCTAAAGTGTTGTAAGAAATATATTCACGACCATTGCCTACCTAACTAAAATCATCTCTTTGCTAGTTCCACCTGATCAACTACATATTTACTTTGGATCTAAAGGGCAATGCATGTGTAACTGTAAGGGTTTTATCTTCAGTTCATGTCCCATCGTTCATACGTAAATAATATCGATTACATTTTATACATTGTCCCATATTGTCTCCACTATTACAGTCTCAACATTCCATTCCATTTTTTTTTGCATTTTAGATAATTTTATCACCTGCTGATTCATTACTTGGTTATATACGGGACGTTGGAAGAAGTGGAGATTTCCCAAGGAAGAACTGGAATAGAAGCATGCCGATTCATCGGTGAGTTTCGACGATGAAGGCGTAACCTTGCCAAATGTGCTGTCCCAAGCCCTAATAAAGCTTTATTCAAAGCGTCCGAGAAAGGGATTCCTCGAAGATGGGGAATTGGAATGATATGTATATCAGTAGTTGACGGAATGATATTACTTGCGTTTTATAAGAGGGAGTAATTTGTTTATTTTAAGGCGATTATTCGATCTTGTCCATGCAATTGTTGACGTCGACTTTTCCTTGTCATGACAGGGGGATGGGCTCCTTCTTGACTCCGCTTTTGATTCCATGTCTGTTCTGGACTGGGTTGTCTTCGAATATCATCGTTTATCATACTGTGTACCTGGGACAACGGTACGGGAAGCCGTCTCTGGAGTTGAAAGCGGAGAATTTGGTGGGATGCCTTTTGAATTGCGTGGAGATATACCCGTCCCGGACTTGCTTTGCTTTCAACTTCAGGGAGAAGGATGGACTCTGTGAACTGATTCACAACGAGAAAAGCGTTCTCATTCCCTCAGATGGGTATCAGGCTTTCAGTCAATGTGAGTGTAACCGTATGATGAAAATAATAGTGTGAATGAACTACTGTTGCGAAATACAAGAGTAGTCCCCGTTTGACCCTTAAAGCAATTTCAAAGATATGCTGATATTTCGAAAGGGCGTTCTTAGCCAAACTTAAATACATACATTTTCTCTAATTTGAGCTATTAAAATAATGTTAGGTTAAGTTACGTTAGCCTATTTTTTGTCCTTGAACATTTTTTGATGAAACTAATACGTATGGAATCGGTTTCATTTGTGAACATTAATTGTATAATTTCTATCCAAATTTGAAAGGCTTGAAAGAGCTTGCTTAGGTTAGGATATGAGAAAATATATTACTATTTTCAAATGGGACTTCCAATGGGACCTGGAAAAAGCATGATTTTGGAAGTAATCGTTGAAGCTAGGACTAGGAAAATATATCCAAAAAGTTGGAATGTAGTTCACTGTGACATAGGACATGAAAGTTAATGATGAGTAGAGAAAAGGTAAGATTTTACAAAATACAATGAAATTGCATTTTAATTGCGTTGATTGAAAGTGAAAATTGCCTATTAGACCTGTGACAAATGCCTTACGATTTAAATTTTACTATCGAAAGTAAACCGAAGAGCCAGAGTCATCCTTGTCCAGATCAGAATCCGATTCAGTCAACAGTCAGGAAAACAGCGCGGAAAATGGAAGGCTGAATTTCGTTAAACTCGAGAACGGAAATTTCCGCTCTCCGCCCTCGCTTCCGTTGGACGGAAGGTAATTTATACTGATCGATCGCGTCGGGGTTCGTTCAACAAGGCGCCTTCAACAAGGGAGAAGTACGTAGTTCTGCTCTTGCTGATCTATCGATCGGAATCGCAAACGTGTGCAAAGAAGAGGGGGGAAGCGAAGATGGAGTGCACGGTCAATGTATCAAAAGAGGCAGAATGGAGAATAACATGTTCTGATGTAAGAAATTATTTTCATAGAACCAGTAGGAATTTTTGCATATTGTGACGGTCTTGGCGGCCTATATCGTCAAGTACCCGCCCGGAGTACTGAATCCGGAGTCGTGCGGGGTACTGGCGAGGTCCGTCCTCCAGTCCGCGGACCGGATGGCGACACCTGTGGTAGCTGTGGCCGTAAAGGAGGCCTTAGGAGCGGGGCGAACCCAACGAAAACTCAAGATCGTGGACCCATCCTTCCCTCCACACATCGGATATTTAGACATAATAAGTACCGGTTTAAGGTGTGGTAAATAACGTGGCGCCAGAGGCGCCATCTCGCGTCAATCCGAGAAAATACACTTATTCAGGTCTCTGGATTAAAGCAAAAAAAAAAACACTATATACAATATCGTGACAATATTCTAGGATGACTCCATATCCAAAGCAACTCTTTCGCAGTTTTTCCAATACATTTTCATTCATCACCTCTTCCCTGCACTATTTTGATCCCATATCTGATGAATTGCTCATAGTCTATATTTTTACGATCCTGAGGTCTCCAGCTATCCAACTAAACTTGTTCGATGGAGAACAGTCACAGATTTTTTTACTATAACAGAAGTTTCGCTCCCTCCATCTACGGAATTCCATCTCCAGTCAGCGATTTGCGTTTTGTGCTGAAGGTGATATCTGGCTCCCGTTTTGAGTTTTCCATTTTTCACTCACTATAAATCCACCCATAGACGAGTGACATATACCCGGTGAACACTATCAGGGGACCCAGAAGTCTCCAACAACAGGACTGATCAGGATCTAGACCAATAGACATCCCTTTTTTTTTCACTGCATGGTATTCATGTCAGTGCCACTCGTTATGACATGAATGTGTTTTTTTTATGTTCTTTCTCGCAAATGTGTGAACGATACAGTTCTGTGCTTGATGGACTACCCGAGGATCGAGCACGCGGAAGAATCCTTCGAAGGTTGGACGGGTAAGCATCCAGCCCCACCCGGTGGGAAGGTGACGTTCACTTGCAAGCACCCGCTAGGGTTCAGGGATGGGCAGAAGGACCACCAGGCCACCTGTTCGCCCTTAGAAGCTGATGCCTGGTCCGCGACGTTCGTTGAAAAGGAGAAGGATCTCTGTCCTAAACCACGTGAGCGCGCCTTTGGCTTCGTCAGTTTTAGACACATGTTAAGATTTGTTCGCTTTCAGATCTCCCAGGAGCAAATTACAATGAAAAAGGCAATTCTTGTAATAACGTCGGAAGCAAATACCAGGAGTATGATAATGAGATGGGTTCCCTGTGGGTGGGATATGGCAATTCCTCCGTATGCATCGCATGAAGCACCGGACTGTCGATGAATATTCAACGAACGTCCCAATTTTAGGTGCTGCTAACGTGCCATGAAGTAATGAAAACTGAATTTCAAAGGCTCTCTCTTTGCGAGACGGGAGGTCGATGAACGGCCGGCGGACGATGCTAAAAAGAACCCCAAGGCTTTTTTTTAAATCGACATGCACACGGTAGGTGTAAAAAAATCGATCGGACCTCTAATGAACGGCATGGAGGAGTCGATTGCAAGTAATAAAAAGATATGGCCATATTTAACGAGTATATTTAACGAGTTCTTCGCTTCTGTTTTCACTGTGGAATCCGACGAAACAGCGACTTTGGAGGAATTGAATGCGGACATTTCATAACCCCGAGGAGATGATCGTGAGGATAGGAGATCGTGAGTATAATAGGAAGTTGGCGGTGGGCAAGGCGACCGGCGCCGATGGGATTCCTGCGAGTGTCATCAAGGAACTCATGACAGAAATACCGGTTCCGCTAAGAATCATATTTGAAAGCATTATTAGGCCCTTTGCTAATTAAGCTAATTAAGACCTTTGGTCATCTGCTGGAAGAGAGAGCAGGACACAAACTTCAGACCATGCATTTCCCCATGCAAATGGTGGCATTGTCATTGAATTGGGCAAATACATACTCCGGCACAAATATATCTTTGAAAACATCTCCACCCAAATTGGGTGCCCCCAGGGCATGTACTCCCAAAGTCGGATGTTTCTTGAACTCATCATTCCAATAGCTACTTGTGTACAAAGTTTTAGATTTCTAACTTCTCTAGAACATGGTTAGAATTAGTCAGTCATTCACTCACTCAGTCACGATCGTCATACTGGGTGTCCACGCAGTCCTTGATACATTAAAAACTACAATACCTCAAAAAGTATGATACATGTGACAATCCTGTTTTTTTGTTTTTTCTTTTTTTTGCCAGAAAGAATAACTAAAATAATTTCTACCTGTAAACGCACAACTTCGACATATGCACCACTAGTGACACACAGAATGTCCAAACGATGCTCCACTTTATGCCAGGTGCAATGGAGCATGTCTGGAGTCACGCGTTTCCTATCCAAAACGCTAATGATTTCTAAAAAAATTTTCACGCCAGTTTCTTTTCATTGGGGTCAGAGTAGGTGCGTCTTTCTGGTACACTCGAGGGTAATTACGTTGCTCAGTAACACCAAACTTGGACTCCGCAAACCAATTAACACATTGGACTTTTTCTTCTGGAGTCACCATTATCTGTCAAGCGCTGTTTCACGCTCCCAAAAATGAAACAAAAATAAATAATGGGTTAAACACAAACTCTTTGAGGTGCTCAATGTGATGCAAAAAAAAATTGTCGTATCTATTATACTTTTGAGTATGATTAAAGTTCGTTTTGTATCAAGGACTTCGTGGATACCCAGCACAGTTATTAGATGCGGATGTTCCATTCGTTCTTTTCTGCTCGATTAAAACATGTAATTGGCACAATGTTATTGAAACAGGATCCTTCTTTTACAATGTTTTGGATCCATTGCAATAGTCAAGAAATGTATTGCTAGTCATAACTCTTTTCCTGTCCATTCTTAAGAAGTATCTCTTGCCCTACATTCACGTTACACTAAACTGTTCAGGAGATGGCGAATCGATTGATGGCATATACTTCGCCAAAAAAAAATTGATGCGAAATTTGAATCACCCTGGACAACAGAATGCATTCTTCCCTTTCGTTGTACCACTCTTGAACTTCTTAACCGATCCGGTCCAACCTCATCCGCTAAAATGGATTTGTTGGCTCTGATAATATGTTCCAACGTTTCTGGAGATGTCACCATGTCATCACAGTACACTTTCATTGCAGCGGAAATTGAGGAATGCCGAATGACGACAATGGGGAAGGAGTACCGAGGGATCAAGAATCAAACGGAAACTGGGAAAAATTGCATGCATTGGAAAGACTTTTCAACACAGAAAGACGGGGATTTCTCTTCTCAGATATTATATAATCCAAAGTACTCCGATAGGCTCGAGAATCTGCGCAAGCCCAACAATTTCTACACGGACGGACTCATTTCAAAGCAGGACCTAAACTATTGTCGGAATCCAACGGCGGCAGAGCGGCCATGGTGCTTCGTTTCCACAGACTATAGGAAATGGGAATTCTGCGACATCCCCTTCTGCCCCGGCCGCAAAGGTCTGGAATGATTTGGCTTCCGAGGATACTTTGCTAGAGAGAGAAAATTGTAGAGTATGTCTCATTTTCTGCCTGGAGCATTTCCATCACACTGCTCTAAGTCATGTTTCCCAGACTCGGAACTGTAAGCTCCTGGTATCTGACACTGGTGGCGAGCTCTGGGTGAATCATCTGATTGCCTACTAGTTTTTTGAATGACTCAATCGTCGCAATTGTTTTCTATCGTTTTGAATTCCGTTTTAAATACACTTTCACAATTGTGTAATCATTGTGAGAAACGGTTAAGTTGTGTAAATCCAAAGTCAGCCTGACATTGGGAAATGACTTCATTAGTTATGAAGTAGTAAACGCATGGAACTTTGGGAGCGTCATTGTGTATTCTTATACGACATAGTTGATCCCGAATGCAAACTGACGGAGATGGGAAGGGAATACATCGGTATGGTGAACGTGACAAAGACCGGAAAACGCTGCCTGAGATGGGACGAAAAAGGTTTTGCTGCCTCCCTGCCCTACGAAATGCTATTGTTGTCCTTTCGCGATCCATACACCAAAATGAACTTCTGCCGAAATCCGATGTCAAAGGAAATGCCCTGGTGCTTTGTCGACGACGGCGACTTGAAGTGGGAGTATTGTTCGATTCCCCTTTGTGAGCGTCCAAGTGAGTGGCTACCGGAAACTGACTTTTATTCACCCGCAGAAAAAAGTAGTTTACATTCCACGGAAAACAAACTCGTGCTCCCTTCCCTATTTACTATCACCTCCTGACCTTTTTCAGTTTGTCAGATTATTAAATTAATTTAACGTCTGTGCTCGAATTCTTGCACCCTACTACATCAGAGAAAATTTAAGTTTCGCTCTGGAACTCATAGATGTTTCTATTTCGATCCAGCAAGTCTTCTTATCCGATTACTATTTTAGGTGCCCCAGAATGCAAGGAGTCTCTCTCAGGATCGGAATACATAGGAGCAAAGAACTGGACCGTATTTGGCGCACCATGCCTTCCATGGAGTCCTCCAATCCCCAAACTCAAGAGTTCTCCTTTTTCCGAAATTTCCTCCCCTGATAACGTCCCGGATGACCACAACAACTGTCGGAACCCTGATACGTCTCCTGGTCCATGGTGCTTCATTGAATGGACCCCCAAAAATCAAAATTTTCCTCTTAAGGTTCGGGAGGCCTGCCATGTGCGTTCCTGTTTTCGAGAAGAAATAGAGAAGACATGCGAGGCAGAGGGCACATGCAATTCGAGTGAGTCGTAGGGCTTAAAATGTTATTACCAATTGTTAAGTCTATCATACGACGACTTCGCTTTTAGGTTTCACAAGACTCTGATGGCCACGTTGCTACATCTTTCGTCTCAGACTAAGGCACTTTAAAAAAAAGTCTTACTTGTTTCCAACGCTCAATTATATTTCGTTTTAAGATGCAACTAGGTCGCCAAGTAGTGGAAACTGGCCAATGTTGTGAATATCACTGTTGTGGTTCGTGTAAGAACGGAATGAAGTTTTACTTGGATCCAAAAATCGTCCTTTTGCTGAGGATCCCTAACTCCAAAATATAATGCATTATTCCCACACCTAGTTCAAACCGGAGCGCGGCAAGCGGTACGATTTTCAACCGGAGGTTCAAAATAAAACGCCTGCGAAAAACGCAGGCGTTTTATTTATTTATTTATATAAAAAAAAAAATTGCGATTCATCGGCCTGTCAGGGCTGTAGCCGTCAAACTGTTGAATATCCTACTCACAAATTGAGTACATCGATTCCTTCGCATCCATGGATGTGCCCTTGTTTCACTCAAATGTTGGTCCGACGTACCGTTTTATTTACTATCCCGAAACTTCAATCGTGCAATAGATAGTACGACTCACCCATGAAGGCTTTTGATCGCCTGAAATCCGTCAGATAGACATAGACAAAGAAAAAGAAGATGTCCATGGGCTCAATCGGGGCACGGGTCATGATTAATATGCAGAGGAATGAGTTATGAAGTGATGGAGCTGCAGCCACGCCAAGAGAATAGTGATGGTGAAGAAACAGGCATGAGCACCATCTAATACATGATTTGAAATCCAATATCTTTACGTTTTACACGGACATTTTTCGCAACTAGTATTAGCACAACGCCATGGCGTAAAGTAGCAATGCGTTTTTGAAGAAAACAATTTTTTGAAGATATTTCCTTGTCAATAGATGCGACGTCATCGTGATGCAATATTCTTTACTGGATGCTTTTTGTCCACCCTGAACCTCATTCTCCTCAATCTACACCATCATTGCAGATGGATTTGAGGCATTGCAGATATATCCGGAATGCCGAATGACGACATTGGGGAAGGAGTACAGAGGGACCCAAAGCAAAACACAATCTGGAAAGAAATGCCTGGATTGGAAAACGTTTCCATTGAAGGACATTCGCCTTCTTCTCCAGCAACAGTTGCCGGTGTCCGATATGAAAACTTTAAATGAAAGACAGTACATCTCCGAATTCATTTCAAAGCAGGATCTAAACTATTGCCGGAATCCAACGTCGGCAGAGCAGCCATGGTGCTTCGTTTCCACTTTCGAAAATCCGGTCTGGGGATTCTGTGATATCCCCTTCTGCCCCGGCCGTAAAGGTTTGTCATCCTTTGACCTCCGAGGATACTATGCTAGAGAGAGAGCAGAGGATGTCTCATTGTCTGCCTAGAGTATTTCCCCACACTCCTCGGAATCACGTTACTCATGCTTCGAACCATACGTTCGTGGTATCTCACGCTGGTGGGGAGCTACATTTGGGTTTGGGTAAATCGTCTGATTACCTCGAAGTGTTTTGAGTTAGTCAGTCGTCGCAAAGTTTTTCTATCGTTTTTAATTCATCTTTAAATCCCTTTTCATTATTAGTTGTGAAGTTGTAAACGCATGGAATATTTCAAGTGATGGTACCCATTTCGAGTAGCATTGAAAGGTAGTTGGATGCTATCATAAGTGGAGCAAAGAACGAGAAATGATAAAAGTGTCTTTGCATTAGGTATGTGTGCTTCCAAGAGCAATATACGAGGGAGGGGAGATAAAAAATTTCCGGTACTAAATTTTTCTTGTCACCGTGGTGCTTCTTTCTAACTACTCATGGGTATATCCATGATAGTAGTCCACTCCGGCATCTGCACAAATTATCCAAAGTTTCTTCAGCCGTTAAAATCATTGCTCACACTTGCCTCTTCGAATCATCAGCAGCGTCGGTGGCACGTTCGTGACGCTGTTCTAAATATCCTGAAATTTTCTTCATTTTTCAGTTTCACCGGTTTCTCATCTACGTTTGTCCTATCTACTAATCCCCATGCATCATAAGCCATCTAATGCACCGGACCTAGCTCCTAGTATTTTCTTCCTGCTGAAGGGATTGCTAAAAATCGAAGGAAATTCAAAGCATTATTGTAAACATGACGCAAGTACTGCTGGTGATTCCAAAAGATTAGGGTCAGCAATAGCGGGTGAAGAAACACCTGAAAGTTTGTGTAGATGCCATAGAGGACAAGTTTGACGATCATCACCATCAGTAATGGGAAAGAGTCACCACAGCGTCATAAAAAAAATTCAGTCCGGGGAATTTTTCATCACCAATCGTACCTCGAAGGTCTGTCTTATGAATCAAAACGCTCGACCTTAGCAAAGGATGTCCTATTGGACAGAAGTCCCTCTTCGCTTCCCAACCCGAACCCTGAAAAATGGACCTTGAATCACTCCGAAAATACAGGGAACAATGATTCGACGGGCAGACTCTCGAGTGAAAATGCAGGGGATTAGAAACGAGTGATATAAGAAAGGAATTATGATGTTGTGATTTCCTAAACTCATGATCATGATTCTAATTTAATTAGAAGGGTATTACAGTTTCAAAGTGCTTCATGTTTCTTGGACACAAGAACATGAGATAGCCCTCCTGTGATGCATTGACAACTGGAGATGGACGTGGGAATTCCAAACTTGATGAGATTATTTATTACTGCCATCCTTTTTAAATTTTTCTATCGAGGTTACACTGAATGGGACGAAGTGGGAACAGCGGTCTCAGAATGAGTTTCATGAAGTTATTTGCCGCATGATACGGGGAAGTTTTTCATTTTGAACATGTGCTAAATGATGGGAACCTTGCACACGATACTTCGCGATGAATATCGTTACGACTCTGATAATTCCGTCACATGGGACGCGCCCATGTTTGAAGTTATGGATCACATCCCACCACAGATTCCTCTCGTACCGAAAACCTACCCCGTCCTTTTGACCCTCAGAGCCCGTGGAATGCAAGTTGACCGAAGAGGGATGGGAGTATGCAGGGTCGACGAACGTGGATGCAGATGGTCGGAAGTGCCAGCCCTGGCTGACGTCCGACCCCGAGCGATTCCGACACCTCAACTTCCTCGCATTCCCCGACCAAATCATGGACTATAGTAGCAACTACTGTCGCAATCCTGACCCGAAAAATGAAAGTCTCTGGTGCTTCACTGAAGAAACAGGAACTCTGAAAGGACGGCGACAGTGCAAGGTCCCATTCTGCTACGAAGTGTATGAGCGTTCCGCTCTCGAAGGTACGCTTCATTTCGGGTTGCTTCTTGCTTGTTTTCATATCTCACTCCAGTTTATGGCTTTCAATGGTGAAGAATTCAGATGTTCAAATATATTTTACCCTACATAGAATTTCAAAATATTTTACACTGTTTAGTCTTTGTTAACTAAGATTTTTGGAAACCAGTTCACTTAAACCTTTCAAGCACTTCAGGCAAACAATAGCTAAGACTTCCACGCCTAAAACGTGACAGGTAAACCGGCGCAAGGATACCCGGAATGCTTGCAAACGGCGATGGGGAAGGAATACGTGGGGACGACGAGGAAGACGATGACTGGGAGGCCCTGCCTCCGATGGGACTCTCAGCCCTATGGAAAGCTTGAGGACTTCGACCCGAAATTATCCTACGATGATCATTTCAGATTTGGCAATGCCGCATCGCATCAAGATTTCTGCAGGAACCCGACGTTGAGGAAGCAACCATGGTGTTTCGTCGCCGATCCAGGCATGAAATGGGAATTCTGCGATATCCCCCTCTGCCCCAACTACCCCAGTGAGCTCACTCGGATCCACGAACAAATTATTTTATCGAGTTTGAAATGTTTCATGCCAGGGATGGAAAGGAGCGGCATTCAGAGCTTTCTTAGGGATGAATAATAACAGTCGTTTCTTGAAGTGGCCAAAAACGACTGCATGGTGGCCTTGGAAACTCGTTCTCACGTTGGGATGAGTATATTTCCAATATGAAGAAAAATTGAGTCATTCGATATGCCAAAGAGTGGCAGTTTTTTCCTTCCGAATTCTTTCAAGTCACGGAGATTGTTTTCTGTTGAGGAAACTATGTGCTCCATTCAATGCGACTTGAGCCTTACGGGATGATACGTCTCATATCGAATCAAATACCGGAGGAGGTATCTCAATGTTTCCAATAGTAATTTCAATGGGTCCGCATGTGATCTCTGGGTGATATGATGCGCGTCATTTTTCTCTTTCGCGGGAAGATAAAGGTTTTTGCATGGTTTCTCTCCACCAGATAAGACGGAATGCAAATGGACGCACAAGGCAGAGGAGTACGCAGGGACTCTCAACGTGACGGCGTCAGGGAAGCCGTGTCTGCCTTGGAGCAACTACGAATCGCTGAAAAAATTTTGGCCTAGATTCCCAGAAGACGTGAGGAGAGAGAATCACAACTTCTGTCGCAATCCGACCGGGAGAAAGGATCTTGCTAGCTGTTTAGTTCGTTTTGACGGAAGTGAGAACATTTTGGAAGCTTGTGACATCCAATTCTGCCCTTTCCACTACCTCCACTGAAGGTGCCTCGTAGTGAAGGAAGTAGTGAGGCAATGGGAGTGTTCTAGTGTTTCATGAACTGCTGGTTGCATTCGATACTCAGTTTGATGTAGTTACTTATGTTTTCAGCGCACATACTTCATGTAGCCGTATGTGGATATTTTGATGGAATGCACCAGGGGTGCATATTTTTCGTATATTGCCTTCACCAATGTTCTAGTTTTAACCGAAGACTAATTTCGGGCACAACTAGATCGACGACGGAGTGAATGCACTCGTTGAAGCAAAACGTGTCACACCTGAGCTCTACGTCCTTTTTGGGAAAACGTTCGCAAAGATATCATGGCTTACCCCAAGTGACTCTGCGAATGAAATCATCCCTGAGTGTAATTTCCTTGTCGAAAATTTCTTGCGCTACCCGTGTGTTAATGGTGTTGTCCTCGTTGGTTATAGAACCGCTACAGGGGAACATGTCGAATTCTAGTTATTTGATGGTTGTAATGGTAACGTTTGGAAGTGGCGTGCCGTTGCTCAGCTGCAGTGCTGGCAAATGCAGTATGATAGCGTGATTGCCATTCCGCTGGGATTATATTGTGAACAATGCTTCCTTATCTATCTACAATTTTTCTGTCAAAGGAGAAAAATGCAATCGAAGGGAGGTTTTGCTGAATTAAGTAGCCGAATATTAAGATCAAATAACCTTTTCTGTGGAGAGTGGTGGCCGATCGATGCAGTGAAAAATGGAGATTTAGTGCAGGGACATATCCGAATGAACTAGATGGGGTCCAGCATGCGTTTCGATGAAATAAAAAACATTTTTAAAGGTAAATATACATTTGTATACACAATTACTTAAATACATTGGATGTTCTAATAATCTTTCCTCTTTTTACTGATATATTTAATTAATTTAGACATGACATTTTTTCCCTGAACTTTTAAAGTTTGGAAGGTATCGTTATCGTATTATCTATTCATATGAAGGTGGTGCAGAAGGTAAAAACTGCAAGTTGTTGCAAACCGTGTACTTACTGATTACTTCCTTACTGTAGAAATGACAGGTTCTCCAATCTTGTAATGCAAGCTGTTTTCCTTCCCCTAAAAATCATTCTTTAACTTCTCGATATCAACCTATTGCTGCTTATGGTTCGTTCTAATGTTTCATGCTGTTATAGTTTTCAATTTCTTTTAATATGTGTGAGAATTCTATTTCCGATACTTCTCCGTCATTAATGGCTTTCGAAACGATATCGGCGAGACTATTTTGTTTTGATTTAGCTAAGAAAGCTATCGTATTATTTTTCTTTACTTTTGATCCATGTTTTTTAGAGACAATATTCAAAGTAGTACCTATAATCCCGGAATAAGAGTTTTTGAAGACAGCAAATCTCATTGATCCTTGATTATCTTCGGCACCCAATCAATTAATGGAACGAAGGAGGCGATTGCGCATGGAGTTGAAGAAAAAGATATAACCGCTATTTTATCGCGAACGCTTAAAATCTCAGTATTTCCAGCCGCAAGGGGGAGGCAGCACGGTGAACCATGCCACCGTTCCCTTGCGATTATAGCGGCAACTCTAGTCTCCTTGTTCTTCTCAGAGATGACCAGACGAGCTCGAATCTTTGATTTTCTGTGAAAGTTGTCCCCTCCCTTTCCTGTTGCCGATTTGGAAAGTACATTTTGAAAAGGCACATCTTCGGATGATAAGGAAGAGTTGAGTTCACGGACACCCTTTTTTTCTAGTCTAGATTTCCCTAGCGGATGAAACCTTTGAGAGTTTCAAAAGGGGTCACATCAGGATTATGAGCTTGTTTATGGATGTGCACGATGTTTGTCCTAGGCGTCAGAGTCGGGACGACGATACAGATGGCTCCAGATGGGTCTACATGTATCCGTCCTCACCGAGAAGTCCCCAAGATAGACCTCTACATGGGTAATGAGTTCTGGAAATCCAGGGTGAGTCGAGGGAGGGGTGAGTGGAGGGTAGGAGGAAGGGAGTGGAATGTCTTTTAGATATGGTTTCGGCACTACTTCTTTTCCGCCATCCTTCATATTCAGTACGTTTGCGTCGATTACGTCGAATGCCCTCGATAGCGGGAGAAGGAGTTCTTGGCCCGCACATGAAATGCATGAGGAGAAACAGGGAAGGGAGCAACTGATCTGGAAAAGTGGGTCTCATCCGCCAGTCGAGAGGTTTCAAGCGAGGACCTTGACACGTCTGCCGCATGTCCCCCGAGAAACTTTCAAGAGGAGTTTTGCAGGCAGAGATGACCAGGAAAAGGCCTTTCGGTGGACCTCGAACTAGGCGGAGTGATGACGTCGCTTCGTCAGGCGAGGCGAGGTATCCCACCAGCTGAGCTCGAGTCTATCGTCCAGGCACCAGGTCATCGGGTGACGTTCTTGAGCACGCTGCAACCGTTGGGAAAATCGGTATCGTAAATGCACAAACAAATGGGCAGTCAATAAGTTCTGCATTTTCTAGGGGTCTCCTGTCTAAGGCATTCGTGTTTTTCCTTGCAACTTCTGACACGTTCCTCCATTTCTTCTTGATTTTGCCTACTGCTCTGCTACTGCTACTGCTATCGAATGCAACCAACGGTTGCATTCGATGCTCACTGCTAGATGTAGTTATTTATGTTTTCAGCGCACATACTTCATGTAGCCGTATGTGGATCTTTTTGATGGAATACACCAGGGGTACATAATTTTCGCATATTGTCTTCACCAACGTTCTAGTTCTAGCCGAAGAATCCTTTCGAGCGCAACTAAAACGACGACGTAGCGTATGCACGCATTGAAGCAAAACTTGCCACACCCGAGCTCAATGTCCTTTTGGGAAAACGTTCACAAATATCCTTACCCCAAGTGACCTGACGAACTCTGCGAATGAAATCATCCGAGTGTAGCCTTGCCGAAAATTTATTGTGCTACCCGTGTGTTAATGGTGTTGTCCTCGTAGGGAGTATTGGTTATGAAACTGTTTTGGGGGAGCATGTCGAATCCTCGTTATTTCAAAGTTGAAATTGTAACGTTTCGAAATGGCGTGCTGTTGCTCAGCTGCAATGTCCGCAAATGCAAATGATATCGTGATCGCCATTCCGCTGGGTTTATTTTATGGACAATATTACTTTATCGTCAATATTTCCGTAAAAAAAATAAAAAAGCAAAGCGAAGGGTGGTTTTGCTGAATTAATTTGCCGAATATTCCAATCAAAGAACCTCTTCGGTGGAGTGTGGTGGCAGATCGATGCAGTGAAAAATGGATTCTGGAGTGCAGGGACTTATCCGAATGAGTCATGCATTCGTTTCGATTTAAGTTTGTCCTTAGGCGTCAGAGTCGGGACGGCGATAGAAACTCCAGATGGGACTACATCTATCCATCCTCAACTAGAGTCACCAAGAGACCCCTACATGCGTAATGAGTTCTGGAAAACCAGGGTCAGTGGAGGGAAGGATGAGTGGGCGGGGGGGAGGAAAGAGGGAGAGTGGAGGGTAGGAAGGGAGTGGAATGTCTTTTAGATAGTGAGAAAGCAGTGCGGAAAGCCTACTTACTTTCCGCCACTCTTCATATTCAGTGCATTTGCGTCGATTACGCATATGTCGATTATCGATACCGGGAGAAGGAGTTCTTGGCCCACACCTGAAATGCATGAGGAGAAACAGGGAATGGAGCAACGTATGGGGGCCGCGGAATGGAGCCGCCATCGGACCCGGAACAAAGAGGGTCTCATCCGCCAGTCGAGAGGTTTCAGGCCAGGAGGCTTTGACACGTCTGCAGCATGTCCTCAAGAGCTTTCAAGAGCTTTGCAGGCGGAGATGACCGGGAAGAGACCTTTCGGTAGACCTCGAACTATGCGAAGTCATAACGTCGCCCTGCTTCGTTTAGTGAGGCTAGACATCCCACCAACTGAACCTGATTCTGTCGTCCAGGCACCACATCATTGGAGGTTGCTCTTGAGCACGCTTCAACCAAGACCCCATTATGTTGGGAAAATCTGCACCGAAAATGCACATACAAATGCCAGTCTCTAAGTTCTGCAACTTCTGGGGGAATCTTCCTCCTGCTTTCGTGTTTTTCCTTTGTATCTTATGACACATGATAGAGAGCACTTGGACTTTCTTCCATCGAAAACCGAGCTTTCAGTTTGCTCTAGATTTCTCTCACATGAACCATTCAACTGCTGGATTTTTGGAAATGCTCGGAAACAGCCCGTCATTCCCGTCTCTTGCACGTGAATCGATGTAGAGTATGATTAGGGATTGAGGAAAAGGGCATACACTTCATGAAGTGATAATTCCCATTGAGGAGGCAGAGCACACCCAATAAAACTAACAGGAAAATAATTTCAACCATGAACGCGTTATGATTTGCCTACGGCTATTAGACTTCCTATCCGTGAACCACAGCAACTTGTATTTCTTGTTGCATTTCTTTAAGAAAAAGGCTGGAAACGATTTAGAAGCTTCGAGAAACAGGCGATGAAGTTCCATAGCTGCACGCCAGATGGTGGTGGTCTGGTAGTGCCTGAAGGGAGAAGGGGTGACCAAATGAATACCTGTAGTTCCATTTCCGTTCTAGGTATGGTGCTGACCAATCGAAGCGCTCCAGAGATGGCGCAGGCCGAGGAAGGAGATAAATTCCTTTTCGAGTGCAAGACAAAAGGGGAACTGAAGAAGGGGGGGGGTCAGCTCCTCTAGAAGGTGCGCAGTTCTGTCCAATAAGATCGGTTCGAACAAATTCGGCTTCGAATATAATGGCTCATTTCTCAGCATCACACCTGTTGGTAGGTATTCGGGTGGCCGCAACGAAACGGCTCTGGTCCAGTGCTGCATTGACGATAACAAAAAAAGTCACCTGTCAGACTAACATGCATGTCATAATGACGAAACAGACACAAAAAGTTGGGGACTCGCCAGGCACGGGACATCCAGAAGGTAAAGACGTTCCTCGTCAGCGCCAAAGCAGGGAGTGCGGAAGAGGAACTTCCAGACGGCCTTTATATACCCTGGGAGCGCCGCGCCTCCAGCTCCCAACGGCTCGAACTTCCTCCTCTTCCTCCCCCTCGAGATCCATATCTGCCTTCCCTCCCGTTTCCGTTATCTGATCTGACGAAACTTTTTTTTTTTGGCTTTTTGACGGGGGGCGCTTTCCGGATTCTCGCCACTTTTTCAGGATCTTCGAGGAATATTTTCTGTCCGGCCAGGGAGCGGACTCCAGTCGCAAAAGACGGCCCGACATTCGCCTCACATTCGGCCGTGGTCGCAATCTCGGTCAAGTCTTTCGTCGACATCGGCCCAACGTGCTGAGAAATACGAGGAGACACATGCCTATTTTCATTTCTCTTCTGAAAGCGATGAAAATCGGATTTTTCTGTCGTCTGGCGATGCGAATACGGAAAATGTTGTCTCGCCAATTTCTTTCCTCCTGGCCTCATCCCGAAAGACGAATTCTTAATCCCTAATCCCTCATACCTTACGTCCAAACCCAGCAACAAATCACGGAAGAACTCTAACCGAAACTTTTTGAATGAAAATAAAAACGAAAAATGATTCACCAAGGAAGAATGAGAGAAGCCTTACATTTTCCGGCACTGTTACTAATTAACGGGATGAATTGCAAGGGATTGTTGACGCAAGATTTTCTCCGGAACGGTTTAAATACTCGTTGGAATTTTCGGTCTCATAAAATCCAGCCGGTTTTGCTCATTTTTGCAGTCGGAATTCGAGAAAATTCGGGAACGAAGATGTTGGAATTTCTCAAATTTTCCGATTCGCAGGGAGAAATTTCCACCCCCCCCCCCCCCCCCCCCAAAAAAAATTTTTTTGCCGAAATAGGGAAAAACCGATTCCGTCGCAGTCGACCCCTGAGTGTCGTTCGTTGCCGGGTCGACTTCGACCTTCGGCATGCCTCGTCATAGGGCAGAGATGATTTTTTCCTTTTCACGCCCTTGCTTTTCCTCCTCCGTGTGCCAGTCACCTATAATCGACATTTTCTCGGTCTCCTCGGCGTCATTCCGTGCTTCCCCGACAGGGATGCTCCGACAGTGATGCCACAATGGTGTACACAACCCTCGGACACAACCCTCATGACAGCGGCTCCAAACCGGTTTTCATCAACTCAGGATCGAATACACGGGATACAACGCTCTTCGATTGGATTCTCCGCCCCGCCCCGCCCCGCCCCATCCCCCCCCCCGACCTCGTGTGACAAACAAACCAAAACACATCTCTCTCGCACGAGCCACCTCCAGACTCTCCATCCACTCAACTTTCAAGTTTCTCCCGACGCGCGGAGATTTCATCCTCGACTAAACCGATGCAACGGCCCACTCACACCCTTATAGGGGCCGGTTTCCCCCCCCCCCCCCCCGGATCCGCCCCTGCTGTGAAGCGCCAAGTACAATTAGAACTACTAAGCATTTCCTTCAGCATCCTTCTTACTTTGTCGATCAGCTGTAGAATACGGACAACAACTTATATTGGAAGACTTCTCGAGCATAATCTAAACGACATAAATTAACTGAAACTAGTGATTATAAATGAGCAAATTAAAACTTGCTGCACGACGCGATGGCGTCGGAATCCAGGGAAGCCTCCCGCGCTCCCACGGGCATCTTCGATTCGGCTAGCATCTTGTTCCTCACTCGATAAAATAAGGCATTTTTAGGATGGATGCAAATTACTGCTGACTATTATTAATTGCAATTCTTAATTGCAATTGGTGATTACAATTATTAATTGCAATTGGTGATTCGGACCACGCAGAAGCACGACGGGCTGATCGTGCGATCGGGCACGCGAGTGACGGCGGAGGTGATCAACGCCGGGGAGAAGCTGAAGGTGGTGGGACGGGCGGGGACAGGCGTGGACAACATCGACTGCGACGCGGCCACGCGGAAGGGCATCTTCGTCATGAAGTGGGAATCGAATACGCTCGATTCGAATACGCTCGGGTCGAATAGGCTCGATTCGAATACGCTCGAGTGCGGCTTCCCGCGCGGCTGCGTTCTAACAGGTCTCCTGTTTTTGTTTTGCAGCACGCCGGGGGGGAATACCCTGAGTGCCGCGGAGCAGACGTGTGCCATGCTGCTCGCTGTCGCGAGGTAAGTGCCGGCCGAGGCGGAATCCTTGCGCTTGGGGTGTGAGTGGGCCGTTGCATCGGTTTAGTCGAGGATGAAATCTCCGCGCGTCGGGAGAAACTTGAAAGTTGAGTCGCATTTGTCGATGGAATCGCTTCTGGACTGAGGGAGCAGGCCAAGGAGAAGAAAAAAAGCCGGCGTCGAAGTCACCATTCGCTTCAGATTATTGCCGACAGATGCAGAAAATGCAAATTTCACGGAGGGCTTTGTGACGTCGTTGATGAATGAGTTGGAACGGGTCGAATTCTTTTCGTAGGGCTCCATTTTCTGCATTACTTTATTTATTTATTTTATTTTTATTTTTTTACAAATAAAGGAAACGTCGTAACATCATATCAGTCCAGTCGCCATTACTTTCCCTTCTTCTAAGGATTCTTCTTGATGGACCTGAAATTGGATTGTAGATGTCGTGGAGCTTTTATTTGTCGATGGAAAACATTTTTTTTTAACTTAGGCGTGAGAGGGTTGCTCTCGTTTCGGTTCGGAACAACTAAGTTATTTTTATTTTTTTATTTATATTTATTTGCTTATTTTTTGCTCATTTTAAGGGGATCCTGCGTGATATATATATATATAAGTGGAAATTGATCCATTTACGTGAGAGAGGTTTCTTCGCATTTAAGAGGAAAAAAAAAAGAAGTTTAAGTCCTTCCCTCTGCGGGAACTTGGGAAGCTTAGGATAGATTTTTTTTTGCAGAAAGACCAGTTATCCTTTCAACCTTACCTTTGTTTAAAATAATAATAATAATAATAATAATAAAATAATAAAAAAACAGTAATAATAAAATGAATAAATAAAAAACCTTGAAACTTGACGAAATGGGAAGCAGGGCGGATAATATCCTGTCTTCAGAAGATTAGTTTTGTAATTCCTTGATTCTCGATGGAGGCGCCGAAAATGATGAACAAAAAAAGAGTGGTACGCCTTGTCGCTTTATTTATTTTCTCTTCGGGCAGGATGCTCCCGCAGGCCGCGGCTTCGTTGAAGGAGGGGCAGTGGGATCGGAAGACATTCATGGGGCAGGAGCTGCACGGGAAGACGCTGGCCGTGGTGGGGCTGGGGAGGGTCGGGAGGGAGGTGGCTGTGAGGATGCAGGCGTTCGGGATGAAGGTGAGAGAGTCTTGTGGCTTTTGGTTGTTGGGTGGTGGATGGGGTGGATGGAGTGGATGGAGTGGATGGAGTCGGGTTGTTTTTGCAGACGGTCGGGTACGATCCGGTGATTCCGAGGGAGGCGGCGGCGGAGTTCGGCGTGGAGAGTCTGGCGCTGGGGGAGATGTGGCCGAGGGCGGATTTCATCACGGTGCATACGCCGTTGCTTCCTCAGACGAGGAGTGAGATTTTTTTTTTATTTTCGCAGGATCTGTTGTGAGTCTTTGGGAAACCGCGGGGGGCGGGAAGGACGGAGCGACGCGTCGTATTACTTTTTGGCCCGCGTGGAACTCGCAAATTTGGCTTTCCCGATTCTGCGGGCGGAATGGTCGTCTCTGCAGTCTCGTGGTTCGGTCGCTTCGTGAGCAATTTGGAAAGGGGATCGGTGGCAGACGAGACTTTCGGCTCCATGTCCACACCTGCGGAACTTCGTCGATAACCTTTTAAAGATTTGCATTCGCTACGATGGGGGGAGACGCGGACGCGCAGAGCGGAAAATCGAGCAGAAAAGCGATTTATATACGAATTTTCTTTTTCTTCGAAACTATTAAACCGGGAAGCCGCGAATCGTTCCATAACCGCAACGCATCTTCTCAGACCTGATCAACGACGAGGTGCTGTCGCAGTGCAAGCGAGGCGTGAAGGTGGTGAACGTGGCCCGCGGCGGGATCGTGGACGAGGCGGCCCTGCTGAGGGCCCTCGAGGACGGGCGATGCGGGGGGGCCGCGCTGGACGTGTTCGAGGAGGAGCCGCCGAGGGACCCGGAGACGTGGAGGCTCGTGAGGCATCCGAAGGTCGTGGCCACGCCGCATCTGGGCGCGAACACGCACGAGGCGCAGCAGCGCGTGGCCGTCGAGATCGCGGAGCAGTTCGTCGATATGATACATGTGAGAGGGTCGGGATTTTCTTGGTTGGCTGATGATTTTATCTCGCGTCAAAGCGAGATAAAATCATCAGCGTTTGAATCCCTGGAACACGAAAATGAGGTACTGATGCTCCTGAGATGAGCAGAAATTTTTTCATGTGGTGCCTTGGAAATATCAAGAGTAAATTAACATTTATGGTCCCCGAAAAAAGTTAGCATTTCATAGGCGAAATTTCAGTGCCAAAAAAAAATCGAAAGGTGGAAAAAGCAAAAGAAAGACGCACTATTGCTTTGTGGTTAAGTGGTTGAATTCAGCTTGAATTCAGCTGGTTTTTGAAACAAACCTAGTTTTTGGACATCACTGTTCTGGATCATTTTGGCTTTCGAGGATCATAACTTTGTGAACTAAATCAGGAGAAGCCGTTGGTGGGAGTGGTGAATGCACCGAGTTTGAGTCTCGCGAAGACCAACGAGATGAAGCCTTGGGTGGGGCTGGGTCAGGCCTTGGGCGCCATTGCAGGGGCCTTGAACCCCAAGGGGGCTACACCGGCTCTTCATGTCGATGTCATTCTTTATGGTTTGCCATTTTATTTATTTTTTTAAAATTTTGCACGTCCTGGGGGCTTTAAGGGTTGGGTGATTTCAGGACCGGGACTGAACCAGAAGATGTTCGTTGCAACCACGGCCATCCTTGTGGGGCTGATGAAGGGAAGCATCGAGAATGGGATCAACTTGGTGAATGCACCGATCTTGGCCGAAGAGGCAGGCATCACAGTCAGGGAGGAGCACGTGCCCATTTGCACTTCTGATGTGCTGGCCTCTGGTACGTCCGCGCTCAAACTCGTCCTGAAGAATGGAAGCACTGAGCACAGTCTCACCGGTCTGGTTCTCATCAATTGCTTTCGCGTGTGAGGTGAAAAAAAAATGGTATGACGGCCTGCTTTTCGTGTGGCTTACAGGATCGTTGCAAGGAGACATTCCTTTGCTTTATGAGATCGATGGGGCCCGCTTCAATACAGGTGTGATATTGAGTGGCCAGGTGCTGTTCTTCACAGGGAATCATACAAGCCTTCCACAGATTATCAGTAAGTTTTAAGATTGTTATATCCTCTGCTCAAAACCTGTATCCTGGGCTTCTTGTTCGAAAGAAATTAATTTTAAATATCAATTTGCAGGCAAGATCATGGGTTCTGAAGGCAAGGTTGAGTCAGCACTAATGTCGAGCGAAGACAAGGCAAAGCAGACCTGGTTTGCCATTCGCACATCCAACTGCATCGAGGGAAAGATTGATGTGGGGACACTTGCAAGAGTGGTTGCCCAAGTTCATTTCTGAATATCATGCCCTGCCAGGCATAACATTTTGCATAAATGAATTGCTTCACTTATTGATTTAGGTGGAGGAATGCATTTTATTTTCATCCTCAAAATGGTGAAAATGCATTGATACAAAAAAAGGCACTTGAATGCATATTTCATATCACCACAGCTCATCACATAAGACACACTGACATTATCAAGAAATACAAAGCCACTCTTGAAGCTTTCATAAAGCCTAGCAGGTTAATGCTGAAACTACACCAAAGCTCTTTCCATAGAGAAATTTCTCTTCACCGCGGACTTAGTCACCAGCATGCTTACTATTAAAAAAAATCACATGAAAAATGGATTTTTGTTATAAACTGTACAATCACTTGCACTCATTGATAGTATGCAGGATTCAGTTTCAACATACTCAGCAGAGAAATGAAAAAACTCCATGGGCAAGTTTAAGGGGAAATGGGAATTCAGACATGTTGAAGTCCCAGTTTAGTGCTATGGTTATAGAAGTTGAGCTTCAATGCAAGTCTTTCAACATATGGCATCAGTGGACAGTGACTAGAAGTGGCTATGAAAGATGTTCATGGGCGTTGGAAACATGTTTGAGGAATTTTCATTTAAAGGAGAGGAAAAAGGAAAAGTATACCAGGCCATTGCTGTCAGGCAAGACATTCAGCTATTTGTTCGGAAATAAGTGACTAGCTGGTTCAGTTTCTCGTTCTTGTTACAATGAAAGAGACAGGAAGACATGGGATGGATCTGAAGGCAGTGCATAAGGGAAGACTGTTCTATGATCACCTTGACTATCACAGGCGGTCATATGTTGACTCAGCTCGGCATCCACCCAGGACAAACACAACTCCATCCTGCAAAAGAATTACAGCCAAAATATTCCATGAAAGCATGGAGAATCACCTTTCAATATTTCACTGGCCTGGTTCTCACCTTCATGAGACCGGGGAAATCCATCCAGAAATTCCTGTTGGGTATCATTTCCCACCCCTCAGCTCCACGTACAACACGGAGGATGATCATGCCAATGATCAGGTACAAAATCACTCCAACAAAAAACACAATCACAAGAATGGAACCTATTGACAGCCCTCCACTCTCAGTGGCTCCTAGGTTTCCAGCTCTCTCCCTTGTTTGAGTGCTATGTGCTTGACATGAACAAACACAAGGGGTGTGGAGATACATCAGCTAGAAATATGAAAGATATGGAAATTTAGTTAGGGTTATTATTTGAACTTATCTCTGAAGAAGTTCAGGAACTTACATATTTTCTGCTCCCTGGAGGCATCTCACCTTGAACTTCAAGCCATGTTGATGTGTTACATGTGAGAAAGATTTGTGTCTGTCTGTAAGTTAAAACCAAACAAACCTGCTATTTTCATGACCACACTTTCATGCTAAAAATTGATGGATATGCATGATCTTACCTTTCCTCTGACTCAACTCCATGCTTCAAAGATATATATGGCTTTCCTGTCGCAGAACTCAGTTGACGTTGGACACTTGATAGATCCCCAAGATTCAAGGATTTCCCAGACAACTCCTGACAAACCTTATCCATAAAAAAATACAAATAACCTTGACATATAGAGACTACATGATGTGATCCAGTTCAAGCCTAGTGCCACAGCTAGTGAAACAGCATAACTACAAAAGGTTTGCCATCAACTCATGCATGTATACCTAATGAAGCAAACTTACAAAAACAAGGAATACTTCCAGTGATGAAAAATCAAGTTTAATACCTAAGTTAATTTTGAAATCTTTACACAATCATCTACCTTCACTCACTTTTACACAATATTTCAGCAGTTTAAAATGCATCCATTGCAAATATTTATTTTATATCTTTGAAAGTAAAATCATACACAATCCACCTTCCTATATCCTTCTATAGACCTATGTCCATAGGTGGTGAACACACTTTGAGGCCTTTAGACATAATAGCAATGCCTTTTTTCTGAGATCCATAGAGATATATATAACATAATTTATTATTTTACATCTCTACCTTTCCCTCTGACATTGGCAGGTATGAAGTAAACTTTCAAAAAAAGCAGAACACTTTGCCTTTTTATCTTCATACTCTGAAGTCTTAAGTGCCATACTAAGAACCACATTCCTACTTGTGTTCTTTTACCACCTCCCCCCACCTGGCTTAGAATTTCTGAAGAATGCTGGACTGGGCCTAATATTTCATTGGGATCTTTCTGGCAAAAGCTGATAACCTTGAGACAAATTAGGTATGAAAAAATAAAAGGAATTGGACAAGAAGAGAATGAAATAGGCAAGACAATCTGTCCTTTCTAACATGATCAATGCATGCAGGGGCCAAATTTGATACATTTTCACCTTGAACAAAAGATAATGACCAAAAATGTTAATCCATAGTTCTATAATAATGCAGTAAATCTATACAATGCATCAAGGGATACAACAAGCTAAGGATAATTGAGTATCATTGGCAACTGGATAAGATGTGTTTTTTTTTCCAGAGACAGACAGGAGTGACCAAACTGATTTCCCTTGAGAGTCTCAATCATTAATCTTGCAAGGTATTCACTAGGGCTGCAGGGTTATTTTTCAGAATTAATTAGTTTATGTATAATGTTTATAGAATTAAACTAATGGTATTAGCATGAAATTGATTTATGATACTTTAGCCATTATTACCTTCTGTTTTTCACAATCGGTAAGAGAATTAGGAAATGGGTCCGACATTGATAATGAGTCCAGGCCAACACATTAAGGATTCATTGTAGATGTAATTTTGAATACTAGAGAAAAATTATGAAGATGAATTCAGATTCAGTCATATTTGACTTCAGATATTAGATATCAGATCAGCAAGATATAGGCAATCAGACATCAGCAAAAAAAAGTATATCATTGCAGCCATTGCATTAACACATACATTAAATCTAAATTATAAGTACACACATTCACTAACCAGAGATGCTGGATCAGATACTGTGTGTTCATCAGCACATAAAGCTGAATTCTTACTTATTCAAGCTACACAATGAAAGCCAAACTGACAGACAAGATGTTCTCCACAACACCAGAAAGCATTGTCTAGCCTAGCTTACATATTGCCATGAAGAGATCAGGAATCCAGACTGAAATGGTGAAATTGAGGCCAAGGCTCACTGACAAGCACTGGAGAAGCAGAACAGCTGTTGGGATCCGACGAATTCCCACGACTGAATTGAGTACAGGGGTCAACATAGAATACTGATGGATCGGTCGGATTCAGTGATGTTCTTGCCTGGAACCTGCAAAAATTGAGTCAGAATGCTCGATTCCAAAGCTAACTGCACTTGAAATCTGACCTGAGAGGTGAGGGTGATATTCAAGATTGAAACATGGGTTGCAAGGGATTCACTAACGTTAGCGTTGAAAAACCTGAGGCAGTTGACTCGGATATTAGGATATTCCAGGGACCAGTGATAATTATTCTAAAATCCGGATTATTCCAACATTTGAAGCTATCGTACTGTTGAGAAACCACGGGATTGTTCAGCCATCACACTCACCTCGGGATAGAACTTCCCGCATTGGCCCTGAAGCATGGACAAATGTCGCACTCAAAGGAAGGATCTGCTGAAGAAGCGCATTGGAGTACATGAAAGAGAATGATCAAGAGCGTTCCGAAGAATTTCCACTTGGAAGACATAAAAGCACATCGAAACCATGTGCTTATCTGCGGCGCCCTAATGGCAGCCATATTGCTTCTGATCCACCTCTGAGCCTCAGTGTTGCATGATAACCCATTTAAAAGTTTCAGTGGGAAAATATTAGCTTTCGAATTCATCTAAAAATACATGTTAAATGCATCAATATGAGTTTCTTTGGGTGAAGAAATGTTCCTCTGGATATTTATTCGTATTTATTGATATACTTACTATTGCGACCCCTATTCATTCAGGTCACATTTCGCAGCCGTGATTATGAATGGCGCTGAGTGTACGGTGGGGGGGCACGTTGAATGTACGTATTCCGGCGTTGAGTAATCGCAATATAAACGAGAAGTTTGCTATTTGGTGTGAGCTATTCTGCCAAGGAGAGCTACGTACGAGACCAGGCTGTGGAACATTTCATATTCTGTTAGGTCGTGGTAATCTCGTCATAGCTGATAACACACTCTGAAAGTTTTCCCTAAGTGTGTGTGGGATCGTCAGGGTTGGCCTAGACCAATAAGGAACATTCTAAATCAACCCTTTAGGCTGAAATGGACAGGATTTACAATGTTTCCAGATTGAATTCGAACCCCCTATAGGAGCGCTTCCATCGATTGCAGGTAGTGGCATCTGACAAGTGGTTCTGTCTATCGTCTGCTGAGGCGAAACCTCTGGAAATGCGTTTCCTTCGTTCACCACTAAAGGGGGATGGTACGAATTCAATCCGGAAACAATGTAAGGCGGGTTCTCAGGGTATTCCATACATTCCTAACCTTTTGATCTCTTTCAATGCTCAGGTTGGTCTAGACCTGTGCTGAAGAATAGAAAAGAATAGAAAAAGTCTAGGGTATATCACATGGATTTTTCTGGGGCACAGGAGTTTGCCCCATTTGATAAATCATGCAATAGTATTTCGTTTACACCAATGGTTTTCAGGGTCTATTAACCTTTTGGTATTAGAGTATTTTGAATATGTTTACCCTGTCACTCAAATTTTTCCATACCTTGGCAATACGTCAAGACGAGATAACTTTGGAATGGATGCCAAATGGTTATCAAGGGAGAACCTTTTTTGTGGTGTATGATCAGATTTGCCATTTCATAATGATTCTGGGAAGGTTATAAAAGTATGACTGCATCCAAAATTGGTACTTTAAACTCCTAAGAACCAGCAAATCAAGATTTGGGGTCCAAAATTGTTATATAATTCTCAAGTTTGTCCCACTTTAGGGCTTTTTCTTTGGCTAAGCTATGTGATTTCCTTTGGTCAGGTGCATTTCTGTATATTTCCAGTTATCTGGAACAGGAGAGAAACTGTATCTTAACTGGACATCACTTTAAATTTTTCTTATTCCCAATTAACTAACAATAGCTAACTGGTGATTCTAATTTCAGGCTTTGACTTAATAAATAATTCTCTCAAAACAAAAGTAAAAAAGGTATGATATCAAGTACATGGTATAATTGTTCTCTGGGGTCTCGTGCTCTTCAATACATTACATTCTGGGCATACCTCTGTTTCATGTAAAACTTTCTGTTAGCAAACATATCAGCCATTTTTAAATACATATAGCATCATTTCTGTGTGATTCATATGTAATAAGTTGTAGAGATTGTGATTTTGACAGCTTAAGAACTGGACTTCTATGGTGTTGGGTTGGTAATTTATTGGTACACCTGGTGGTCATTTACATGGGGATTTAGAAATGAATTAATTGTTGGGATTGCATCCACATTTTGCACTCCCCCTTTCCCTCCATATTTGTTTGTGGGAGATTGAGTACCCCCTATCCCCTTTGGGTTGCATTCTGACCAAATATGTGACTTAGCTACCTTTAAACCTGTGTCTATTGGCACATTATCAACAAGTATCAGCTAGCAACCAAGCTATTCAATTTGCCCCTTATCTAGGATCAAGTAATATATGTCAATTTTTGTTACCAGTTGCATGCACTGCAATGTGGGCCAATATTGGAAGTCTTCTTGACAACAAGGTATCTAGTCCAGAGATTATTGATCATTGTATTTTCTTCTTTATTGCAGGGAAACTACAAGGTTAAATTTCTTGAAACTCAGGTGTTTGCCTTGCAGGCACCAAATGCTCTTCTAAAATGGAAGGTCTTTCTGTGGTTGGATTCCATAGAAACACAAGCAGCTGCAAAGGATGAACTTTCATACAAAGGGGATTGCTGTATTGTTTAGTATCTTAGCAGTGACTTGGTACACATTCAGTATAACTGTGTTTGTGTGGGCGCTTGCTTTCCTAGGCACTGCTGCAGGAATTTTTGTGTATGTGAAAAGGCCATCTTCACCTTACAAGATGAGTGAACCTCCTACACACCAAGTCACAAGCCTTATGAAAATGCCAAGTTTCATTTCTTCTGGATGGAACTGGCTTTTTCATAAAACTGGCCTACCTGTTCAGACAGAATCAGCCGGGATGTCGTCTCACTCGGCTCAACTCCCCAGCCCCATTCTCGCTTCATCACCTGAAACTGTGAAGAGAGACTTTGGCCCTGTACACCATACTCCAATGTCCTTGAATCGTTCAAAGCAGTTGGCCACCCCCTTCCCAGCATCAATAGACAGTAGAACAGTTGCTTTTTCCTCCTTAAGAACTGCACCCAATTTCACTAGACCTGCGTCTTCCTTCAATTCTTCACTAAGAATGAGTGATGCATCTACATCAGCCTCAACTGCAAATTTTAATAATTCCTTTTGTGGAAATGTGGAACGGAGGAAATCTACCAAGTGCGTTATCACCACCCCAGACAAGAGATTTGTGTCTAGCTTTCTCCTTGGGCAATCGACACAACACAAGGAGAATATGCCTATCACTGAACATCTTCAGGCTTCTGTGAATAGAAATAGGATTTTGGAAAGAAGGAATTCTACTGAGAGTGCTAGTAGCAAAATTCCTTCACCAGCTGTCACTGTAAGCCAGCGACCTTCAGCACTACAGAGGAATCACTTTCCGGACAGGTGAGGATGGATACTAATCTTTGAAAGACCATTGTGGTTTTGTATGCTAGATATCAAACTTCCATTTACTAAAAGTTGAAGAGTCTCCAAGACATAGCATACATATTTTTTTACAACTTTAATTTTTCTTTTGGGCTAAGGTGCCCATTTCCATTTTAAGAGCTGGATTAACTTTCGTCTTTACTGACTTGATATGATAAGCTATCAGTGTCTGGCATGGTCATGGAATTAAACATTTGAACTGCTTGAATTCATGATTGCATTTTCAGTATTTGAGCCTAATTCTTTCTCTATCTCACCACAATCTCAGAAACAGCCCTGCAAAAATGACTCTGACTTATATCAGCCAAGTAAATTTTTCCTTGCCCAGCCCATTTTATGGCAGAAAATGCAGATTCTACAGTGATTTGCCCATGCAAAGATGTATCAAGGGAATTCCAATGTGCATTGTAACCTGGTGGGTATCATTGGGTACATGTGCAGGAACTAGTTGAAGTAAACTTACTAAATCTGTGAAAGTATTGATTCCTTATTTTCTTCTCCACTTTTAAAGCCTTAAAATATACTTACCACCATCTTGTTAGAATATTATATGGTGTAGGTAGGTGTAAAACAAAATTCATGAAATGCCAGGTTTCTCCATGAAAAGTTATGCGCTAAGAATTTCTTTAAATTAAGTTCTTATGTTTCTAAATTTACTTTGAAATTCATAATTCTGGTACCATGGGTCTATTCTTGCTAATAAAAAAAAATCAGGAATTCCATGATAGTACTGTAGTTCTGATGTTACTCAAGCATTAAGCATTAGCCTCTTTTCCAGAAATTTGAAATTCATCAACATATCGCATGTCCAGAATTTTTTACTTAATCTCAATATCAGTCACAGGCACAACCCATTAAAAGGTACATGTGTGTAAGTTAAGAACAGTACCAATATGTTCATCATGCATCATAAATGCTATGGCTGTCATGTGTCATCAGTGTACCTTTTGTACTGTATGTAAGTGTTTCTGTCAAAAATGGAACATGGTTTTTCGACATATAGTATATTATATTTTCTTAATATGGTTCATATGTTACTTATCTTTTTGACTTTTGTTCAGGAATACACTTCGCCCAGACTTGGATAAGCGAAATTTGGAGCATGTTACTACAACCAGACCCCTCCCTGTGGTGAGCTTAAGGCGACCTCCTCTGCAACATCTACGGCCTGACAGCAATCAATTCTCAACACTCAACTCTTCACTCAGGCGGCAATTCCAGACAAATCCATTGCAATATGGAGCTCTCAGTCAAACAAGGTAAGGCAACTCTCTGAGTGTTTAGACCAATGTGTCATTTTATCAGTTGTATTGCATATTGGTTCCCTGCCTAGTAAATTGTGTATTGGTGAATATTTGATGATGAAAGAGTGAATTCGGATTGTAGAATTTTCCAAAAGGCAAGAATTCCTGCATTATTTCGATTGCAAATTGAGAATCAATGAATGTTTGATTTTGCACCAGGAAAAATATCTGTCTTAGCTCTGTAGTTGAAATGTAAACTTTCTGTAATTATAATGCATTATTTTGTTTAAATTGCTCCTCTAGAAGTTCTATTCTATTCTGGAGGTTTTCAAAGTTGCATTTTCGCATTTTCATCAGATTAATGGTATCTTGTGTTTTTGCATTTGCTCCTTCCCTCTTTGAAAGATCCAGTGGATGTGAACTTTATTCCTTTGAAGCTAATTTTTGTGAAGTAGATACTATTAAGTAGAAGTGAATCCTGGAAGAAAGAGTGGTTTTTTCTGAATTTTTATTTTCATTGAGGCTAGTTCAAAAAGAAGTGTGACTAGTAGGATCTTGATTAAAAATAGTTCAACAGTTTCAGCTACTTATTTACCCTTCATTTGTCAAATTAAGGAGTTGGGAAAGAAAAGGATCACTTGCATTTAACTGCAGTGCTTTCCCATTTTCCAAACAAATGGAGAGCAGTTACTTTTAACCATACTTTTTTCCTTCACCCAATTCTTTGCTGTTTCATATTTTATTGACTAATGTTTATTTTTTTTCGAATTCTTGCCCAATGGAGACAATACCAAAGTTACGGTTATTGATTAATAGCTAGGGGAATAGTTTTAATTATTATTTGTGAAGAAGAATGGATCAACTAGTTCGACTAGTTAGTTAGTAGGATTGGTTCAACTAGTAAATGGTTTACTTTTGCCTATTACTTTGAGATTTTGCTGCTTTTTGTAGTTAATATTCTTTCTACTGCTCATCATTGCTCTTAATATTCATGTGCAACAAGTTCAGAAACTTTCCTCTATAGAGGAATTGATTATTCTCTAAAATTTTATTTGAAACACACTTTCATTAGGTTGTTCATGAGTTACTGAGTGAGAGAAAAGGTACAGCAGGAAGAATTATGTCACAGTTTCATCCCAGGTTCATTCTTTTTTCTACATAATGAAGAAATTGACTAATGTGACTTTTAAAGCTTTTCCTGCTGAAGTGAGCACCTATATCATTGAGGGGCTTCATGTTTGGTGGGTGGTGGGGGTGTAAGTATTTGAAACTTGTGAGAAGGATATAAGATTTGATTCCTTTTGCTTAACTTATCAAATTTACATGTTGTGTTGCACTCTTGGAATCATTGTGAATGACAGGAAAATGTTTTTCCCCCTTTAGATCACTCTCACCTGGAAATACCATCAACAAACCAGAAACTGAAGACCAGTCTGGCAGCATGCAGGACCTTCTGAATTTTCTGAAAGCGCAGAGCCGAAAGAGAGCTCGGGCAACTGAGGTATATCAACCAAATTGTCAGCCACATTACATTTTGCTTTTTTTGAATACTTTTGAATTTTGATCATTTCTTGATTAATCTGACCATAGTTGACCAAAATTGCATAAATTCATTATCCTTGCAATCAATTCTCTTAACAATATTTTGAAGCGTAGAAGTTCAAAGTACTCTGTACTTTTCATCTTTTTTTATGTGGGTCCTTCTCAAAAGATCTACTTGTCAGGTTTTTATTCAGTCATGAAACAGTTAATGTATTTTGCTTGTATACTTATTGTAATTTCTGAACTTGAATTTGCTCCCTGTTTTTTGTAGGACAATGAGGACTCCAAAAAGCGAGTTCGACGGGATAGTTCATCTAGTTGTGATTCCGATGGTGCACCTGCAACTGCCCCACCTATGTCAATGCCAGCTTCATTTCCAATCAGGTTATTTTTTATTTGTCAATATCAAGTGGAAGGTTCTCTTGACAAATACTTAGTTCAAAATGTTCTGCTGCTTAACTCATAAAATATTTTCCAGTCTCCTACCAGACCACAAAAATTTTTTTTTATCAAACATATTCTTATATTAGAAACTTCCTGAGAGTGAATTCAAAATGAAGAAATTTAATTGCAGAGAAATAGACAAAAGAGATTGTTTAATTTAATATCTATGTGTGGGTTCTGTGAGGTTTTTGCAGAAATCAACCTTGCAAGGCATGTTTGTTTATAACTTTCCTTGTTTCCTCAGGACTGATGTACCACCACCTCAAATTCAAGTGCCAACTTCAACACCTCTTGTAACAGACCGAAAAAGATCCTCTGAGGCAATTACAGAAGCCTCATCCCCCATCAAAACAGCCACGCCCAAGCGAAGGCGTATTGATGTTATTGAGGGCTCCTTGAGTTCCAGCCAGCGGGAGACCCAGAAACGTCCAGCTGGTAAGATCCTTCTTCAGATGTGTAATTGCTACTGTCATTGGTACTGAATATACAAATTAGCAGTTGCCAAGTGCCAAATGGCTATTGGGAGTTTGGATTTGATTCGTACAGCAAACTCTTGGTTAAATTAATACCAGCAGGCCAAGTAATGCATGTGTATGCTTCAGTTCTTGGTCTGTTATAATTTATTATTCTCTGTCTTGAGTAACAGTCCTTGGATGGATACTGCTTGTTTTTTTTTGTGAATGAAATTCACATTTATCTTACTTATAGTTGTTCTCTATAGTCCTGAAAGAATAAGTACAATATGCTAATTAGATGCTACTATTTCAATGTAGTTACTGCCATTGGTTGTGTAGTGGCCCTTACCCATCAAAAATAAATCTTAATTTGCATGTAGAATAATTAGTATTGATGATGAGGAACATCAGAAGATGAAGAATTTCACATTTGGTTCAATCACACTCAGGGTCAGCAGCAATGACTCAGCGACAAAAATTAGCTCGTGGAGGTGCGTCAGAAACTCCAGCAACAGGAAAGTGGCAGTTGGAGGAATTCCCTGAAGGAACTCCACAGCTCTCTGTTGAGAAGGAAAAAACTTCCTCTGCTGAAACTAAAATGGTAAGAAGTGCCACACCTCTTTCTTTTTTAATTTTCACAGTTGTCTTTGTTTAAGCATACTCTATTAATATATATATATATATATATATATATATATATATTGCGTGTTTACTTCTAGCAGAAGGAGGAAGTGCAAACTCACTTTGGGCAGTCAGAAAAAGGAACACAGGGCAAGGGAAAATCAGGCACTGTGTTGGATGTAGGAACCCCGAAAGATGTAACTGCAGCAAAGAAGATAGATGATCAGGAGAAAGAGGGATCCACTTCCAAGAAAGTGACACGATTAAGAAAACCAGGAGAGGAGTATCAAAGTCCCCTTCGTCTCCTTCCATTGATTCTTCCTTCTCTTGAGGACGTGGAGATGGATAAAGGGAAGGAAAAAAATCGTCTTAGCCGAATGCTTCGAGCATTTCAAGGTTTGTTGGCTTTTGCTGGTGTGCAGAACTCTGAAGGGTGGCCTAGTTTAGAAGTTATCTTAACCTTTGGAGATGAACCTTCTATTCACGTTCTCTTGCACATGCACATGGGTTAATGGGATTATCTTTGTTGTTGAAGAAACAGTGATGGGAATGCCAGCTTTATGGATGGTGCAATGATGCATGAGGGAAATTATTTCCTGTCCTCCAATATTGTGTGGAAAGAAATTTACCTTCCTTCTCCCTGCAGTAGATCTACATGAGGATTTGCTTTCTATCTTTCTTTCTATGATTGGGGGTAGGGATTTTCAGCTTATTGTGATTTGGGCAGGGAATTGTTTTTTTGCTGCAATCATCTATTAAGGAGAGGGTGCCTTGTGTCATCTTGTTACAATCATGGGGGGGAGTTGCTGGGTGAGGAGGACTACATCACTATAGCTTGTGAAATCATTGCCTTTAAGTATCCATATTAATGTCTATACAGCAATGCATTATGGTAACCCTAATGGTATTTTATTTGCCATAGGAAATTTATTTCCATGTTCTTATACACTTTCACTTTCATCACTTTTATATAAAATTTAAGAAGTACTTTTGAGCTAAAATGTTCAACTCCATACTTGAGAAGCAATAGGAAATATTTTTTTAGATTTAGGATGTGTATTGTGTGGAAAGATAGTTCCCCTTGGAAATTGAACCATGAAGTTCACTGGCAGTGATAAGGGCTTATCATTTAGCAAGCTTGATAAGAGGGCGAGGAACCTGATTGGTTTTTCAAAAAGCTTCTAATCGTGCATTATGCATTGTTTCCTCATGTGTTTCAGTGTTATGGTGAATAGCTTCAAAGGCATTACCAACAGACACATCTTTGAAGTTTTTTATTTCTCAGATTGACGCCTTTTGTAAGCTTCTGTTATGCTGTTTAAAGAGAGATCATCTGCTTGCTCAGGCTTAATGGAAGAACTGTCTGTAGATGACATGTTGCTTACACTGTACCATCTCACTAAAAGAAAAAAATTTGTTTAAAAAGGAATTCCATTAAACTCAGGAAAATGGTTGAAAGTTGCAATGTAAGAGGTAGATGTGCAGTACCTTCTATGTCTAATTATATTGATGACTTTTCATCATTTCCTGAAATTCATGCATTTTATTATTTTTTCCATAGATGATGCTGAATCTGAAGCTCCAGTCACTGTTCAGTCCACAATAGCCCCAAGTAGTGCTCCTTCTGCCATCACTTCCACCATTACCTCTAAATCTCTCACAACTCCTATACCCAGTGCACCTTCTGCTTCTGTAACTACCATTTCTTCAGTAGTCGAGCCAATTATTTCAACCAGTGAAGCTACAACTAGTGCCAAGACAGCTGTAGAACCAGTGAAGACAACTGCATCCCAGGATCAGAGCTGTGCAAGCCTTCTTACAACCACAACCACTACCACCAGTGGACATAGCCCAATTATGAGCCCACTCGCCCCAGAGTCTGCTGTCACCTCCACCGCTGCTTCTGCCTCTGCTCACACTGTGGCACCATTCTCCTTTGGTGTCGCTCCTGTTTCTTCAGCTGCTACAGGAACAGTTACATCAATATCTGGCCCCATTGCTACCACATCCATCACAGCACCAACCCCAGCAGCAGGGTTGTTTTCATTTGGAGCTCCGAAGACCACAGTGAAAGAAGTTTCCAGTATGCCAGAGACAACATTGATAAAATCCTCACCATTGGTAGCAGCTGTGAGTACTCCCAGCACTTCTGCATTCACAAATGTCCCATCCACTAACACATTCCAGTTGAGTGGGACATCAGTGCCCAAATCTACAGCAGTACCATCAATGAGTTTAGCTCCTGTATCAACCATGGTTTCCACCACCACCATGTCATTGCCATTCTCATTTGGTGCACCCTTGTCATCAGGCAGTGGTGGCTTTTCCTTTGGTCAAGATGCCTATCCTGCAAAATCTGCAACTGCTTCTCCTACCACTACTAAATTTCCTTCTGCACCTGATTCTATGAATGGATCACTATCCACAGCACCTTCTGGAGGTTTCACCTTTGGAATGGCAAAATCTTCCGGAGGGAGTGCTGCTTCCACTATCTCAAGTGGTTTTACCTTCCCAGCCAATACAGGACCAACAACACCTTCATCTAAAGCCTCTCAATCTCAGTCACCTCCAACCACATCATCCACTGGCTTTCCCACACCCTCAGCCACTCCTGTCTTCCAGTTTGGAGCTACAAAGACAACAGCAGCTCCAGTGTCTGGAGTGGCAACGGCAATGGTAGCACCTGCTTCAAAGAATGTATTTGCATTTGGGAGCTCTAGTACCAATTTGAGTGGAGTACCAATCACAACCCATTCATCATTCCCAACATTTGGGGCAACAACAACATCTACACCATTGTTTGGAGCTCCCGCAACATCGGTAACACCAACATTTGGAGTAGCACCAGCAACAACAGCAACTGCAGCTCCAGTTTTTGGAGCAACAGCTATAGTGAATCCATTATTTGGGGTAACAGCAGCAGCAACTCCATTGTTTGGGGCAACAACAACAGCATCAACAGGTCCTACATTTGGAACGCAGACTACATCTGCCACACCTTTTGGGATGCAGACAACTTCAGCCACGTCAGTGTTTGGAACACAGACAACATCAGCCCCTTCAGTGTTTGGGACACAGACATCAGGGAATCCTGTATTTGGTTCACAAACCACTTCTGCAGTACCTTCATTTGCTTCCAGCATGCAGACTACAACAGGAGCTTCTGTTTTTGGTACCCAGAGTGCATCTGCAACATCATCCACCTTTGGATCTTCAGCACCTTCAGCTGGTTTCACATTTAATGCTGGGAAATCATCAGCTCCAGCATATGGCACATCTGAATCTCAGAAGCCAATTTTCAGCTTCGGAATGTCGAAGACACCTGCTACAACAGCAGCGAATTTCACTTCTCCTCCAACTGTCACCACTGCAAGCAGTGCTCCTTTCTTTGCATTTGGCTCATCCCAGCCTGCACCCCAAAGTGTCTTCCAATTTGGGGGGGCTCCAGCAGCAAAAACTGCAGTAGCAATGACAACAGCATCTCAGCCACAAGGGTCAATCTTCACTTTTGGGCAGTCAGCAGCCAGTACAGCACCTTCAAGTAGTTTTACCTTCAACTCACCTGCTAACTCAAGTCAGGCACCTTCATTTGGGTCTTCGGGGTCTGCTGGGTTCCAGTTTGGAGCCCAGCCAAGTGGGCAGTCATTTGGAACAGCTACAGGTTCTCAAGCACCAGCTGCATCAACTCAAGGATTTTCATTTGCTGCTACATCACCCCAGGGAGGCTTTAACTTCAGTAGCCAACAGCAAGGAAGCACAGCTCAGCCAGGGGTTTTCCAGTTTGGTTCAACAAATCAACAAGCACCTTCATTCGCTTCTGCAACCTCACCTGGTGAGTATAGATATTATTCTGCTTCTATTTTAAACCTTTTGAAGACTGTATTTTCAAATGCCTACTGTCTTTGGGAGTTTAATATTTTTTGCACCTCAAGGTTTGTTTTGAAAAAAAAAAGTTTGGGGGTCCCTCGACAATATAACTTCACAGCTTTAAATCATGAAGTGGTAGGTAATCATCAACTGTAGTGAGCAAAAAGAAAAAAAAACTCAAACTCTTGAAGGGTAATTTACACATATCCTAAAACTGAAAAATTTGTCCCAATTTCCACTCAATATTTGACCTCATGTATTGCTGTTGCTTCATTCTTTCTTGGCTGTGATGGTCCAGCCACAGTATTGTCCAATATACATTTATCACCAACTTGAGAATTTCAGTCATGTTTGTTTACCACCAGTAGTATTACATCATATACACAGGAATATTGTCTAGAAACTATTTTCATGACCGGTGAAAAAAATTCCTTGTGCAGCCAACAGGTTCCAGCACACACATATGAACTCTCTGGCCTTTCTGTAAAAATATGAGCTTCTTACAGTCAATGAGTTATGAGAACTTATTTTGATGAATACTCTGCTTGCCCCCAATGGTATTTCCTATGTGTTTATGGGAGTACTCCTCAGGGTTAATTATAGGTGTAGTCAACTGTATACAGACTGAAGAGGTTTTTCTTATGACCATTTCTCTATGGTCTGAGGTTTATTTTCATTGGTCCAAAAAATTCTGCTTGCTTTTTACATTGTTTTCTTTAAAAGATTAAATCATTCAACAGATGAACCAGTTATTGTACTCAATTCCATCATGAAAAAGCTAAATATGACCTGTAATACTTTGCTTTACATAGCCTTTCATCTCAAGTCGTCAGTCTTCTTTTGCCTTATTAAAAATTTGACATTTTCCTTGATAACCATGTTCATACAAACTGATATTATCTGTAATATTTGATTGGTCATATTAATATTGAACAAGTATGGACATTAATCTTAATATTGTCTGTTGAATACACAAGGTGGGCTTTACATGTGTTTCTGGATTGGGATCAGTGTAGCTTGTAAACCATCTGAGGCAGAGACATTAAATTCATGGGTGGTATAACACACGTTTGGGAATATGATATGAAAATTTTCTTGAACTAAACAACAGTCACAGAGAGTGGCATTACCTGGTTGCTCAAATTGGCCTACATGTGTTTGAAATATGCTGGGAAAACATGATAGCAATGATTCACTGGAGGATTTGCATGCACTACCTGTTGTATCACAGCTGTGAAGTCTGGACATATCAATGGCTTCTGACTATATATGCGCATTTTCAAGGGTCCCACAACCAATATTTGCATGCATTGAGATCATGTGATCTCAGGGCTGCAGATTGGTGTACTGTACATGCAGTTCCTCAAGAGGTTTTATATACTGCCACTTCAAACAATATTAACAATAATAAATTCATTGTGTGAATACTGTCATTGATAGGCATTTAGGCTAAATGAAACAAGTTATGGTATGACATGTTTTGTTCTGGCTTTCTTTCTTCCCATCGTTCTGCCCATGTATTTAATGAATTTCACTCTGTATCTCCAACAGTTTGCATGCTTAACTGTTCCAAGTACCATTACAGAATTTATGACCACCATGCTTATCAAGCTCAATATTAAGCATGATAATCATAGCATGCTTTATGTTTACATTGGCCTGATTATAGATGTCTTCTTCAAAGTAACATCAGACTCATTAATCCTGGGCCATGTTGGCTATATCCAGAGAAAGCACAAGTAGATGGTTGCCTTATTCCAGCTAAGGCATGATCTCTCCACTCCACTAATTAAGAAAGGAAGATAGGTACTTCATACTCATTGGGAACAACAAAAAAAAGAATCTTCTGAAAACCAATTGATTTTTCCTAACCATATCGAGACACTACTGACTCAAAATCAAAGCATTGTCATTACTACCTGTAGGATTGGATAGGGAGAGGTCCACATGCAAGCCATGGACTGATGATTTGTACTCACAATAAGAGATAGTTTCATTTTCATGCCAGGTTGACTCATTTTGCGAAGGCAATTCTGCTTCTTATCTACCAGCTTATTGGTCCTTTGAGGACAGAGAAGAAAAAGTAGGGAGGAGGAAAGGAGAACAGAAACCATGGAGTCATCCAGAATTATATATACAATCTGAATATTCTTACTTGCAAGCCAACTTGGCTATCTTGGCCCTGGACCACTCAGCTAGAAGCTGTGAGCTGTAGGTTTTGGTCACTCCCAGCCAAAATTTGGTCCCCTTGGTATTTTCATGACTGTACTTCTATACATTGAACATATCCTGATAAGAAATCAAAATAAACTAAAATTGCAGGTGTTCCATAATGTTAGTTGGGGCATGGGGAAAATGTAGGGGTCTATAGATATCCCTCTCCTCAAACCTCTCATTCCTGGCAAACCTTCCACTCCAGGGATCAACTTTTTTTATTTTAAAGGTAATAAAAATTACTGCAATGACTTCTCCTCCTTGTCTTCCTCTCTTTAGTGTTGTCGTCTCTTTTTCAAGTGTGGGAATATGGACTGAATTTTTTGGACTTTTTGCTGCTGTGAAATCATAGCAAGTAAGTCTTTGTTTCATGTTACAATGCAGACCTTTATGGATCTCAGACATTTTGGTTTCCTGATGGGGTGTCACCCTTGTAATTTCATTACCATGAGAAATGTCAATGTTTTCTTGTGTAGTGTTGAGATGAGAAATTTGATTATTAAATTTTTGTGAATTTATGAGGTGGGCATGCAAAATGATAATGAATATTTTCATAATGCCAATCTTTTATTCAATGAGAACACTGTAAGAACCTTTCAAATTGACTGAAGATTAAAGCATTCCATAACAAACAGTAATGGGCCAACTCCATTACTTCTTACTCTCTACATAGTCTTACTGTTTTTTCATGTTGAACTGCATCATTTAATCTTTGGAAATGAATGAATCTAGTACTCTTTGTAACTTAATTCTCTATCATATTTACATTGGAAAACTAACTTGAGAATCTCAGATAGCCATTTATTGGCTGTGTCTATTGCTGGAATAACAAGGGAACACAGGTTGACATCTAAGATTTCATTCATGGAGGGAAAGGAATGACATAAAGGGAACCTTTTCTAAAGGTGTTAATGCTTTCATTAAGTTATGGCTGCTCATGAGTGAACCATCAAGGACCAGTCTATTTTGACACATGGTGCAGGGCTTTGGAGATGAAGAACCAAATCTCATCCAAGATTCTGCAGTTGTTGCCCCTCTGTATGTAGTCATGAGTTCAGATTGAAGTTCTGTTCACCTACCTTACAGGGCCAGGTTTCCAACAAGGGATGGCATCCCAAACAACAGGGTTCCAGTTCAATCCCAATGCTCAGCCTAATTTCAACTTTGGTATGCCTCTTTATTTTCCAACCCATGTCCATGATTCCCTGCAGATATAATGCTGCATGGTCCCAGACCAATATCCACACTTTCCCTCAGAAACAGTAATAATTACTGAATGGGTTTTAATAAAGGAAAGTTCTCTTTTAGGAAGTAGTGTTGTTTTAAGAAAGGAATGGACTGTATTTATGCAAATTATTAGTTAACCATACCTCCCATCATCCTGTTGCAGTCTGCATGCCAAATGAGCTGAAAGTAGATGTACTAGTCAATGTTCATCCTTGACAGCTTATTGCATTTTCTCTGTTTGCAGCAAAAGGTGCAACATTGTGGGAGTTCTGGTAGGGCATTCTGAAGTAAGCACAAATGCATGATTCAGTAACTCCAAATTCCCCTTTTTGAATAATTGGACATGTTTTCTGCCAGGGTTCCATTTGATAGTAGGACATCATCTTAAGTTTAGACACGTATATTTCTCTTGTGGTGGGTAAAAAAAAGTGTTTAGTTTAGAAAAGTTAATTCCTGGTAATACAGACCTCAAATCTCATGAGTGGTAATGGATTAGTAAACTACTACTTGGGAGTAATATTGGCAGAATATTTGTCCAGTATGATCTCTATCATTCTGAACAGCTACATCCATATGTGGTTGCAAAAGGTCAGAATTCCTAGAAGTATAAAGTGTAACTTATGTTAAAACATTCTTCATATAGAGCAAAGGGAACAAGTGCCAAATCTTCAGAAAAACATTAGTGCTGAGGAAAATAATTTCACTCCAAGTTAGATCATCTTTAAGGACATGGAAGTGGAGTTAGAGGGGAAAGCCATATGTTTTGAGGAAGTGTGGATATTGTATGGGTGATATGGACTCTTGCCTGACATGCTCCTTTGTGCAGCTTTTTTTTGCTTGCTGCTTTGTATGATAGGCTCCTGGATCAGCTTTGTGCAGTTGAGGTATAAGCTGCTTTTGTACGTACTGTGCCATACAGATGCTTCATTACTGTTTCCCCTTGGCTTTGATTGCTTGGATGGCAGTCTGGAAAAAAAAAACAGTAGCTTTGTGCTTCTGTCCTGTGTTGCCATTGTTTCATTTTTGACATGTTGATATCACATGGGTTCTGTCATTCCTTGGTTGTTTCCTTATTTTCTTAGGAGTTATTTTGCCAAATTATTTTCTCATTTTGAGGGTGGGAACCATGTGCCCTTCTTTGGTTCCATAAGTTCTTGCTAGTAGGAGGTGATCTGTTTGAGAATGCAGTAATTTGAAGTATGAAGAAGTAATTTGAGATGTGTGCAAGGTGTTATTGATGAGAAAGGTCATTGCACAGAGTGTGTGTTCCTTTCCCAATTTTTCCTTCTTTCATGTCAGGACAATTGTTTACATCTGAATGGATTTACATATGTATGACTCAGGCACTACATGAACAAGAGTGAATTTCCATCATGCATTGGATGTTTCTGCAATACACATGACCCTTGAATTGGCCATTAATATGGGGTCAGATCTCATGTAGCTCAGGTGACTGCCACTTGGGAACTATTACACTGGTAATGGTTTCATATAGGAGCAAGGTGAAGGTGTCAACAGGAGTTAAAATTGTTTAGAGCCTGGAGAGTTCTAAATTTGCTTGATGAGGATTTAATTTTGCAAATGGAAATAATGTCAGTGGTGTATTTGGGGAAGAGCGGGAAGATGGATCCTTGTAGACAACAGCCTGTGTGTTTCTCTTTTTTCCTTTTCTATTCTCATCTGATTGTCAGGACTGGAATTCCCAAGTCTGTATCTGTCTCATTTTAAGATTGCAGACATGTTTCACCCTTTTCCATGATGTCAGCAAGTGGTATGGAGGAGAAAAGGGAGACATATGTGTTGATATGTTAAAAAAAAAGAAACCTCTTCACTGATGCGTTACTGTGGCCAACTCCTACTTTTTTCAGCTGGGAAGTATGAATGTCATAGGCATTTTTGTGCTTCACAAAGTTTATTGCTTGATGCATTTAACATTAAATTCCAATATTCTATCCTATTTGCTAGTGTGATATGTCTTACTGAAAGTTGTGCTGCAGGAGTGGAAACTGTTGATGTGGGTCCTTTGCATTTTGTTTTTAGAACAAGCTTATCAGTTTCTGCAGGTGATGACACTGCCCAGCACGGTTTTTAGCATTTGTACCAGGTGCAGGATGAAAATTACTCTTCTGATGAGTATATTTTCAAAGTCAGCATTTCACCAGATGGCCAGGTTTTGTTAGGGAAGGATCTATTACAGAATTTATGGTTTCCACTAGCACCTGTTTCTTTTCTGAGGATTTAGTGCGTGTGAATAGCATGGTCTCATGCTGGTCTGTATTTGTGGCACATAAACAGAAAATCTGGGTATTGAAGACTTTGATCCTTCTATATGTTTGACCAGGCTAGTTTGCTATAGGTACTTGAAGTAGGAATAATATTGGCATTTGTCCAATTCGCTGTTTTGTTTCTCCAAGGAGGTTAGGAGATCCCTTTGATTTCTACATGATTACAGGTAATATTCATGTGCTGTGCATTGGCAGTTGGGGTACCATGTTGCATGTGCTGTTTAACCCTATGGTGTTAATCATTTACTGAATTGTTAATCAAACTTAATAGTAGGGCTGTACCGGTGGGCTGATTTTTTTCCTCATAGCCATTGGCCGGTGCCTGTGAAAGAAATCTATAAATTAAAATAGGCATAATTGGAAGCCCTGTGATACTTATCAGTGGGCCTCCTTGAAATGTTAGACATCATTTTTGGTCCTGTCCAGCCTGTCTTTCTCTCTGTGAGGCTGTCAGTGGTTAGCTTGCTACCCATTGCTGCAGTTGAGAGCATTTAGTGACACATTCCTTGCAAAATTAAATGGAGATGCAATGATTTCATGTTCTATACCACTACTTTCCTCCGCCAGTTTCTATAATCTGGTTGGAATATAATCCGATTGATAGTTTTGTCTGGGAGAGGCTGGCAGGAGTGGCTTTCAGTGAGACAGGAAGGCTGGTGCCTAGCCGCATTCACACCCTCACATAATTTTTTCCCCGCTTTGCCTGTCCTTAAGGCACCAGCACCAGCAGCTGATGCCGGTGTTAGCCAATATATCGGTACAGCCCTACTTATTAGTTATGCTATTCCCTTAACTACTAGAGACACATGCACTTGTAACTACTATAGTTTAAATTTTATTCATTGTTGCAGGTGTAAGTAAAGTACATACTACCCACCCTTAATTAGTTGCTGAATAATCTTTTCTTGCTATATTTACAGAAGAAATTGATTCTGATATTTTGAAAAGCCTTGGACAATACATGGTTACAAAAAGACTCTGATAATGCTGTCCCTTTAAGAAGATTGGCTGTTACTATTTTAGGATAGTGATTTCCAACCTATAGGTTGCAACCAATAAGGGCAATGTGGGATTTTTGTTTGATTCAATTCCTAGAGACAGTTGAGAAGAGTTCATGATCATGACCGCCAATGAGGCATGTAAATGCATGAGGTGAATATGGTCAAAATGTATGGTTGGCATGAAGGCAAATTTGGTTAACTTCAGATGGCTAGGATGTAAAGGTTCTGCCTTATAAGCTTTTTTTATTCTGGAGAGCTTGAAATCTTTGAGATCATAGATGTATATAGATATGAAAATCATGTTGATAGTGAGGATCAGGAAATTAATTTTAGAGATGTGTTTGAATTAATAAATGTAATTATGAGGTGTGGTTTCTCTTTTCTCTTGCAGCTGGTGGATCTCAACCACCACAGTTTGGAGCCCCTGGAAGCAATCTCTTCACACTTGGAACTGCTTCAAACACAGATCAGCGACCTAAGCGCCACGCCATGCGCAGATCCCGCAGATAATAGTTCCCCATTAGGACACATGATAATTTTAAATTCCTTTTCTTCATGTCTTTCTCCTCTTCCTCCTAATTTCAAGATGACTCATCTCATGTAGTTGTTTGTATGTAGCCATTGTGTTGTTTTTCCTTTGGAAGAAATAATGCCACAGAATGTCTTTAATATGCATGACAAACACAATGCATGGCCCTTCACTACTGGTATGTTCACCTTTCATAGCTCCTTTGTGGTGCTTGAGAGGCAGTGTATCAGTCTGAACAAGTATGTAAAATCACCCAAAAATGTTATTTTTTCATTTAGGAAACTGGAATCTGGCATCAAACCCCACAAGCACTGTGATTTATTCAGAAAAGCAGTAACTGTGATAGTATGTTTTGTTTTGCATCAGCATATGAAGAATTCCTCTTTGAAATTGCATGAATTTTCAAACAGTCCTTGCTGTGTGATGTTGATACCAGGTACCAGGATGTACAATATCAATGGGTGAGTATGACCATGTGCAAAAGAATGTAAGTGGTGTTTGATTTCAGCTTTGAATGCAAAGGATTTCTCATCTCTAGTAATATGCCACAGAAACAAAATATTTTCCTTCAGCATTGTTTGCTTGGATTCCAGTATGGCGACCGAATCAGATGTCTGTCCTTGGTGAATTTACTAATGCCCAGAGAGTTCCTCTTGTGCTCTTGCAACTCTAGTGCAATGTCGTTCTTACTCTGCATCACATTATGTTCTTGTCTGCTGCTTTCTCGAGATGCTAGCTGCATCCCTAATTTTTTTCATAGTGCTGTTCACTGCTAAATAACTGTTCCATATCCCTGGAAGTAGGTGAGGGTTCTCTAAACACGATAGAGAAGAAAGAGCGTGATTGCGGCATATATTTTGCGTTGTGTGGGACTCGAGTGCAGTGTATGTATGATACGACGGGCAAGTTTCATTTCGTCTCTAGTTCTTCTCTCACTCTGAGGCTTTGATGCTAGTGTGCAAGTGTGTATTTTTGTGGATGTGTTACATGATTGTCTTATTGAGTTTGAGGTCTCTAAAGGCTTGGTAAATTTTCCAATTCTGGATCTAAGAGAATTTTTTTCTCGACTCGTTTCAAAGTAACTTCCAAAGTCGGTCGGGCTCGTCGCGGGAGAGACACGCGGAGACGTGTCGGTGCCACTGTGATAACTTCAAACTCAATAAAGTGAATCTTCGTTGTCCGAATTTCTTCTTCTTCGACTTCCGACACGGTGTGAAAGCTTGGATGAGGTGAGGAGGGATGAAGCTGGAATCCCTTCTGGATAATGTAGAGATCAGCCATATTCTCTGCAATATGGTGGCCAGTGATCGCCAACTCACTGATTCGATAATAATTTTTTATTTGCTGGGTGAGTGCATGTGCAAATGCAAAATTGTTGCATTGTTAACTTTGAATATTGTACAACAAATCTGTCCTCGATCATGAAGAGGAATAGTGAGAAACCATTCTTGTTTATCTTTTTCTTAACAATGCAGTACCACTCTGACCTGTTAGTATTCTTCAGTATTCATTTAAATGCGACAGTGTTGATGACACATTCTTCTGGCATTCGTTGAGAGGATGGATGCTTGATCTCACATGCTGCATCCCTGGCTCCCATCTCCATCTGTATGGGCTGTACACGCTACAGGACATCACTGGTTTTCGCACAGAAATATTTGCACACTTTTGCTTAGTCTGCTGACAAGGATAACAGTTGAGGATGCGTCGAAAAACAGACTTTTCTGTTGGAAACAGCCTTCTTTTCGTCTCGTCTTTCAATATACACCTATCCATTGTTGTGATTCCTTGAAATATTTTGGGGGCCACTTCCGATAGAAGTACTCATTCACAAAGTTGCAGAGTCTGCTAGCCCTCTCCTTGGTCCCGTTACGTATTGGGTGACGCGTTATGAGAAAGACTGGAAATTATTGGGTTGGTAATTTTTTTGCATCACATTGGAAACGCTGCAAAATTTGTTTCCTGGAATTGCCGTGTCGAAATTGTCTGTCTGGATGAAAAGAAATTCATTCAAATTGCAGTCATAAAATGTAACATCACTCATGAGGTGAATGCAGTTCACTGCTCAAAGAATCTCATCATATTGGCTTTTTTTTTGCGCTTTGTCCTCGTCATAGTATTCTTGGTCGTATGGTGTCTTCTGGTTTCGGGTGAGATTCTCTTCTTGACGGTGTGTTTAGAGCAGGGGATTTCAAACTTTGTCAGCGACTCCGCAATTTTCAGGTCAGAGGAACTCTGTAAGGCAGCAGTGTATATTAATAGTATAGAAAACTCCGTGGTAAACGTCTAATTTGGCGTGATAAATAGAGGCGTCAGTGGAAACAAGGTTTACTTTCGTTTCGATTAATTTTAGTCTGAAAAAGAACGAAGTACTGTCGCGCGCATTGCGACGATCTGCAATCGTCTGTTTCTTCTCGATGGCGACCGAAGAAGAAGATACAGACTCGCTAGGAAATGTCGGGGCGGAAGCGCTTCCGCGAATTCGGCCCGGGGCGATCGTCGTTTCGCGAAGCGAAGCCTCGCAGTGGGACGCGATGGACCGGCTGATTGTGCGATGCTGGGTCGTTGACGAGTGGTCCGAGGGGAAAACATTTCCGGGGGCCTTGCGGATGGCCATGTGTTTCGTCCATGAAGTCGGCCACCGGCGAGAACATTTCGATTTTTGCCTCTGCAATCGAGAGGACCAAAACGCTTGACGCGGGGAAAAAAAAAGGAGTTGGCGGTGCAGACGCGAGGCGTGGAACCGTCCGCGTCGAGGTTTTGCTCGGGGGCGTGCGTTCGTCGGTCGGCCGTAGAGGGAGTTCGCGGGTTTCGCGAGACGACAGGTGCACGCTGAAGGGTTCTTCGCGGGCGAAGGGATTTCGCGTTGTATGGCAGGAAATTCGCGGAAGAATATGTCTCACTGCGCCGAAAGGTTGTTCGCGTACGGGGTTTGCCGTTTCGTTTCGCGAAGGAATCTTCGGGTTCGTTCTCGCCGCGGCTGGTGTCGGCGTTTCTCCGATGCTGTTTTTTTTTCTGAAACCGAGACAAATGCTGAGACAAAAAAAAAATTGGTTTTTTTTTTACTCGGTGACTTCAGCTATGAAAAATCCAGGTTTTTCCCTACGCATTTGGATGCTTCGATTCCCGATGGAATTGCTTACCTTAGCAATATTGCTAAATATTGGAAAAGCTCCCAAAATGCGGGGAAAAAAACGGGCCCACAAATTTATAATATCAATAATAAGTTACCAATTCGAAGTGGTAAGTCAACTTTCACCTGGGTTCCAACATTTCCTTTAACGATCGGATAATCCAGTGAATAATCTGTGAACCATTTCGAAACAAAAAAATTGAATAATGGAGTTATTCCTTAGGAAACACGATTTACTCCGTGAAACAAACTTCTTGCATCGAGTCGATTTCCCTTCGAGAAACGCCGGTTTTATTGTTATTGGAGCGAAATGGGAACCTTTTCCAGGAAATCTCTGGAATTTTATCGGAAAATTTTTCAGCGATCGTGGCAGCGAGTGCAACTTTCTCCTGATTTCCTGATCGTTCCCGTTGCTACAAAATTTCAAAATACGTTTATGCAGAGAAGGGCAGTTTCAGGCGGAGTTTTTTTTTTTCTTATTTTTCTACTCTGTGAAATAGGATTTTTGGGCTTTCCAATTGGCACCATGCCCTGGCTTGACCCCTGGCGGCGCTGAATCGGCGCGTGCGTATTGGTTGGAAATGCAATTTTCATTGCGGATGGCATTTCTGGGATGCAGAATGGATGTTTATGCAGTTATTATGCATTATTATGCAATTTGCACATTATGCAGTTATTATGCAATATTATTATGCAATTTGAACATTGTGCACATTATGCAATCCCGTGCCCGATGTCGTACCAAATCTTTCCCGCCTGATCTGTTGGGCAACTTGAGCAATATTTGGAACCGTGTGGCTGAAATGCCACTATGAATCCTTCAGAACCCGTGAATAATGGCCCTCATTTCCAATACCTGGAAAAAATTATTTGTAGCGTGCATTCCAATTTCCAGCGAAGTTTCTCCAATTGCTGACGGTGTTGTGGCATTTTCTTTTGCTGTCGTGATTTTGAAAGGCTGAGATCTGAATTACTCCTGTATTCCATAGGAGACTCAGAACGAATGTGCTAAACAGGGATTGGGAGGGAAAAGGGAAAGGGAGGAGCCATTTTTTTCGTAGGCAATGCAAAAAAATTGAATGCAAAAAAATTGAGAATGCCTTCAAGAGTGAGGGTAGTCGACGGAATCATCGCGACGATCGCGAAACAAGTACTTGAATTAATTCGTATTTCAGTTGCACCCGGTGCAAATGCATCGCCGGTTCCAGTCACGTGGGTTTAAGGTGTGATTGCTCCGAGAAGCCTGTTTTTGCGATCTCCAGCGTCTTTTGCAGTTACTGTGCCTTGTGCCTTGTGCCTTGTGCCTTGTGCCTTGTCTCCTGTGGGGAGACAAAGCAATTCTTTGGAAGTTCCTTACCGTCAAGGCTATTGCAATTGCAAACAAAAAGACTTCCAGAAAGGAATTGGGATTTTGTATTTTGGGATAGGAGAAACTATTTCCATGTCGTGTTCGTGGAACGAGTGTGGGTAGCCACGAGGGAAGCACGAGTCCTGGAACTATGAAAGAGGTCAGCCAGATGCCTGGAAAGGCTCTCGATGAGCAATTAATAAAATGGAAAGAATCACGACTCAATAAAAGGGGCAAAAACGTCGGCAAATGAGGGGGGAACTGGAGTATTCAACCGAGAAGTGTTTCCTTTTTTGCAGAAGCAGTGACAACAGTGGGCTAAAATATAGGAGACCATGTCTTTGGCCTAAAAAATGTCGAAGAGAATTTCAGTAGGAGGAAAAAATTGAGAAGCGAGAAGGGATGGTGACGTCTGAGAGTGAGGTCGATGTCGTCACTGGGGGTCGGCTGGAAGATCTGCCCGCGATGGAGAAGGAGGTCATCGGCCGTCGGGTGACTGGGACTGTGAAATGGTTCAATGTGAAGGCGGGGTATGGGTTCATCACCAGGAAGGACACAGGGGAAGACGTGTTCGTGCATCAGTCGGCCATTGCCAAGAACAATCCCAAGAAGGTCTTCCCTAGCCTGGGAGATGGAGAAACGGTGGTGTTTGATATGGCCATCGGAGACCAAGGGATCGAAGCCGTTGGGGTAACAGGGCCAAACGGTAAGAGGGTTTTGGGTTCAGTACATTCTGCAGAGCGTGGGAAACAAAAGAAGAAAAAGCTAGAGGACAAGAAGAGTATCAGTAGAAAGATCTCACCCCATATCAAAGGTGTGACTAAAGGCAGGAAGGACTTTAAAAAAAGGCCTGCCAAAAACAAGACTACCCTGTCGCAATCAGCACGAGCTAAAGTGAGAGGAACTTTCCCCACTGGTTTAGAAGATCCTTCCAAAAACAAGGCTGCCCTGTCACAGTCAGCACAAACTAAAGTGAGAGGAACTTTCCCCACTGTTTTAGAAGGTCCTACCAAAAACAAGGCTGCCCTGTCACAGTCAGCACAAACTAAAGTGACAGGAACTTTCTTCACTGGTTTAGAAGGTCCTAAGCTACCCCTGAAATCCCCAGCCCTGCCACTGATCCTTCGCCAATTTCAAACACGCGACCCTGTACCGGTTCCAGCCAGATTGGCAATTAGAGGATGCACATACCCATTCACTCTTCAAGACCTCAAACCCTATGTTCCATTGATAGAGGAGGCACGTGCATCTGGAACATCACTAGTGAACCGTGTCAATCATCGTCATACGTCGGCACTCGTCGATGGATTTTCTCATCTGGGATGAGGATTTCATGCCCTACCAACAACAAAGGGAGTTAACATTGTCCATCACCATATTAACCACATGTTCTGTGTGTAATGGAGCACTCCATAAATTCTGTACAACTCTTCTCAAGTATCAAGGAAAGGTGGTCATCCTATTCAGCATCCCATCTTTTGGGGGAAACTACAGCTTACCATTTTCATATACAGGAGCATATATTGAAAATTCTTCTCTAATAGCCATGCCCCTTCCAGGAACCAAGCTGCTCCAGGACTACTGTTTAATTACTTATCAAAATTCCAGCAATAGTACACCTTCCAGTCACACAATTTTTTATTATTACTATGTGGTCTGTGACTATGACAGTCCTGGACTCAGCATCTGACAGTCCAATTGGTGCCCTTCCATTCGGTTTTAGGCCTTCCATGAGAATCCAGATTAACGTATAATGAATTTTTATATAATGCAGATCTGATCTGTTGCTGTTCCTGAGATGCATTTTGAATGGATCATCTCTCCTTATATTCAGGAAAGACACTCTCAGCTTCAAAAGTCTTACAGGAATTTGAATATATTTGTGTCTGTAATGACATGCTCTCCTCTTGCTGGCTCATGCCAGGAGAGAATGCAAGCTTCCATTGTCTCTAAGTGTAAACTCTTATTTGAATTTGAAGTTTTCCAAGTGTTGATGAGTGCTTTTACTAGATGCATGAGAGTGTACCAGATTTCTTTAAATGAGGCATGGAAAGCAGAATATGTATCAATGGCTGTTGCTTATTGTAGTGTCAGGAGGAATGTTTAATTTCTATGGGCTTCTAGAATTGTATTCAAAGAAGGAATGTTGTAGCTCATGGCTCGTTCGAAGGATTTTGGTTTGCCACAGTTTGGACCTGCTGAGTAAGTTTTTTGAAGCATCTCATGTCTCAAAACCTGTTAGAAACCTGCTTCTAGGACATTTTGCTCATTCGTTGTTCATGATGGAGTGCTTTAGATCGGGATCAGTTTCAGATCATCTGCTTTATTTGTGATAATCCATTGTGATGAAATGAGTATTTTTGGAAATAAAAATGATGGAATTCAATGCTAAAGAGACTGCTTGTCAAAATGTCTGCTATGTTGTTATGTCATTTTTTGAAGACACATTGAGAAAAGTTTGAGGCAAATCAAAAGGATCCATGTGTCAGACATATTCCATGGAATATGGTAGCCAGAGTGGCCAATGCACTGATGGATTTTTCATTTAAATACCTATTTTGAAGAGCTCTGGAGTTCAACTTTTAATGGAAGGGTGAAGATGCAAGTGTGTTAAATATATATATGACAGCTTCATCTTCATTCCAGTGAGTGTCATCTTTTATACCCTGCTGAAAAATGAATTTTTCTATATTGAGTGGTCCATATTTTGAATGCCTTATGAAATGTATGCTCACTTTTAATGATGTATCATATACCTAAGGCTACAGCTCTCTTACCATTTCACTTACTGTCCCTAATTATGATTTTTGCTATTAAATAATTATAATTATTAATTTTAAATAATGCATTTTTATTAGTTTTCTATTAATACATCTTCTATTCAAGTGTATGATGCTACAATTGATTGACTGGGACAAGGTGGCATATTATGTGGCATTATGTATATGATAAATCTGTTTGAATGACTGGGTGTGTAATTTTGAAGCACCCTGTGTCCTCCTTGTCATGAAACTAGGCTTTTTTTTTACTCTGTCACTGTTGCTCTCTGTTTATGCAAAGCAAGAAGATTGCCACTGTTGAAGGCCTGCTCGTATAATGGTACTTCAAAATGATTCAGTCTTGGAGGGTGAAGGTGGAAAGCACACAAACTTGCACTGAATTCATGAACCTTATGTTATATTCAATTGTGATATAATAATTTATTATTGAACAATGTTGTGTAGCATATCCTAGGGTAAATGTTGTGCTGAAGGGCTTTGTGAAGATGCACCCTGGATTCTCAGCCTTGTAGCAAAAGTAGTTAGAAACTAGAAAGTCTAGTCTAGAGAGTAGAAAGTAGTGGCTAGGTTATACAACTTTGAAAACAAGGATTTGATTTATCTGGTGAGAGTAAACCCAAATAGAAGAGTCTCTTCTGCTTCTTGTTCAAACCTGGAAGTAATATTTAATCTGTTTATTGAGTCTCTCCATGGGGTAAAAGTAGAAAGGAAGTTTTGTTGCTATCCCAAGGTAAGTCATGTAGTTAATTTGTTTTGATCTTGAAGCAAAGAATTAGGAAATATATCTTGAATTGGCATTTTGCTTAAATAGTATCAGCTTGGGATGGGATAATAATTAATAAAAGATTTGTGGAGTTGTTTTGCAATGTTCTTCCTCACAGTTGGTTCTTTCCCAATGCACACCATTATTTATATTTTTAACGTTTCATTGTTTCTCATTGAATATTTATCTCCAGTTGATTGTTCATTGATATTGATACTTGAGAAATAAAAAAATTCTCATAAAAGTAACCTTGTTTGTTTCACACAGGTGAAATCTAGTCTCCCGAGTTAGCATGGGACGTCGGAGAACCAAATTGCCTGCTTCGGCAGAGGACAGTTGTCTGCAGGGACATCACTGCTGTGAAATATATCACAAATGGAAGAATGGGCATTTAGGTTATGCAATGGCACACATCTCTCAATGTCACACGAGGGCCATCCGCAGATGTACGTGTTTGTACTCGTGCTGGGGGTCGTTCTACCACGATATTGAATATTTGCTCGAGTTGCTGTCCGTGTTGCTGACTGACTGTGCTTGTGCCAAGACACTCCATTGCCAGAGATATTATGCTTCTGGAAGTCCTCATCCTATGGACTATGGAAATAGCCAGTGTTGTTATGATTCACATAGTGATGATCAGTGCTTTTGTTCAGAGGAAAATACTTTTCAAGCATGTTTGTCATGCAATCACCAAGGAGGTGATCCTAAGGGAGGAAATTGTCAGCATAAAAAGGAATCTTGTAACCCCATGGCATCACTTTCTGGCTCCAAGCAAAAGCACAGAGTTTTCACTTCTATTCACCATAGAGGACAAATGAAATCAGATGCCAAACATGGAAGATGCTGTAGTATGAATTCTGCAAAGGAGATGAAGAAGGCAAGCCAGAAACCTGCAAGGAAGTGGAGACAGAATGATCAGGAAAAGTGTGAAAGTCGGGAACCCCCCTGTAGAGGCACCATACGATCCTTGGAACAACACCGAGGCCATGGAAGGTCCACCTTGAAGATGTCAATGTTGAATAACCTTCAGAAAGTGACAGATTGCCTTCAGAATATTAGATTAGGAGGTGATCCTGAAGTGCAAGAGCACCATGAATCTCAAGGATCAATGAGGTCCTCTCAGTTGAAGGAGAATGACTGGCTCCTGCTGGATACAGCAATTATTGCATCAGATACTGTCTTGGTTGGTACTTAATCATATTCACAACACCAAACAGAAAGAATATCATTCTTTGTTCTTTCATTGTAGTTTTTCCTTGCCAAAGCAGGAACAGGTGCAGAAAGGAGGGGCATCAAAGGTTGATGCCTATGGCAGTGAAGATTCAAATCCAGATGGAATCAATCTAGATACCATGGGAAAGGAACGCGGAAGTCCCTTGCGTCTTCTTCCGCTGATCGTGACGTACCTTGAAGACATGGATGGGGAGGATTTTGATGACTGGCTGGAGATTATGAAATCACATCAAGTGTCTCAACCAGTGAAGGGTTAGTTTCTTGGAAGCTAAAGTGAAATACTTTTATTTGTAATGCATTCCGTTTTTTTCTCATCTCATCCTAAGAACTTCCCCCCGTGTCATTTTATTCTGCTCTTTCTTCCATAGATGACTCTGAATGTGATGCAAGTGACTCTTCCCTGGGCATTCCAACTCCATCAGATTCTGTATCTTCTGTGTCAGAAACAAGCAGAAGTGCATCACCAGTCATGGGTATGGAATTGATACGTGATGCAATTGCAAGAAAAGATGATGCAGAGGAGGGCTCAGATGGATCCTCTAAACCTGGAATATATAGTTCCACTTGGGAAACTGCACTTGTACCTTCAAAGTCAACCTCCAATTGTTCTTATCCTGTTACTGGTATCCCCCAGCCAGAGGAGTCTCCTCCCATTGTATCCCCTAAAATGGAGCTAGCTTCAGGAACCAAGGTTTCCATCAGCAACGATCCAGTGACGACTGCAAAAGTACCCATAAAACTGCTGGAGACACCCAGAAGCTTCTCGTCCAACACAGACGAGGCTGCATCCGATGAGAACGACTCACGATCGACGTCTCCATTTCTTGCTCCCGGTGTTGATGTATCCACTGCTGCCCCTGTGTCACTGGCAGATACTTCAACTATTCGACTTATGAGTTCTGATGATCCTGTCCCTCCGGCCACAAGTCCCAAATTAGTATCTGAGAACAGTACACAGCTAAAAGAGGAGCTGAACTTAAATGTGCCCCATGATCCTGGACGATCTGGTGAAGCATAAATGTCTTCCTGTTTCTGCAACACCAACCCTTGCTTGTTCATGTGCACAGCTGCCATTTCGGTCCCAATCAGAGGAGCAAGCTTTCGTTATGTCGGAGGAAAATGAGGAATTTGCCGAGGCCCGTTACTGCTGGAGAAGACGTGAACCCAATTGCAAATTGACTAGTAAAGCCCAACAACCCGAGTTGACATCATAGCTCTGCATTATCACAGATTGTAATATGTTACATTTGCATGGCTTTGTGTGAAACATGTGTTTGGACTGCTTGTCTTTGTTGAATCCACCTCTTCTTCCACCAGGATCTAGTTCATGAAGCTACCTGCATTAATTCAGTGAAGCCTGATGTGTGGCTGCTAACTTTTTCATCTGGCAACAATTACTAAATGTTAGCACGGGTGGATTTCACGAGAGGGAAGACCGATCCGTGATGTATGCGATGACGTTTGACCCTGTCGCCACCCTAAAAAATCCAGTTTGCCATCTGGAACCGAACACGAGGAGCTTGCCCGGAAAGATGAAGGGGTTCGGACCGGTCTTCTGACTCCCGTCCTTTGCGGTGATTGGAGGGATGCGAGCTGGTGTGATTGGAGGAATGATATGAGCTAGTAATTGGATTGTTTCTTGTTATTTGACTGTCAAAACTTGGGGCAAACTCTGATACCTTCCTTTGCTATGGGAGGCAGCTTTGTCCTCTTAACCAGCAGACATTAGTCAAGCTGGTAAAGAGAGCTAAAAAGGAGTTTGCTTGTATTGAGTGGCCCATATTTTGTATGCTTCATGTAATGTATGCTCATTTTTAATGATGTCATGTACCTAATGCTACAGTTCTCTCAAATCTCTACTTACTGTTCCTAATTGTACTTTTATTATTTTTGCATAATGAAAATCATGGAAGAAATTACATATATATATATTTTTTATTCATTTCCTAATAATGCATCTTCTATTGCAGTGTGTGATGCTACAGTTGACTGGGACAAGAGGGCACATGATGTGGCATTAGGTGCATGGTAAATCTGTATGAATGAGTGGGTGTGTAATTGTGGAGCTCCATGTATCCTCTTTGTCATGAAACCAGGATGTTTTTGCTCTGTTGCTCATGTTCACCTTCCTTTGTTACAGGTGGCATCTTTGCCCCTATAACCAACAGATATTAGTGAACAAATCTCTCTTTTGCTCACCAGTTTTCCAAATGTGGAGAAACAACCACTTTTCTTGATATTGTTTGTTGTTTTTTTTTTGTTTGTTCCCCCTTGTTTTGGGTCAGAAACTGCTTTTTGTGTTTCTGCTTGTGATGCTTTGTGATATGATTCAGATTTCTGAATGAAAGTGAGATTTAGCCCCGAAGTTTTCATGCTGCTTCTTCGTACATGTTCCTTTTCCATTTCTAAATACACTGATGAAGTTTACAGAGAAGTTTGAAGTATATGTAGTCGCAGTGTTGGCAGTTGGTTGGCAGCGTGATCGTTCTGCTGGCTAGATATGTTATTGCTACGATGCCAAGGAGTTGGCCACTTTCGTCGATGTGATTCTCTAAAGATGTGAGAGGGGGAATTTTTTGTCTCCATAATTTGATTTCAGTGTTGAGGCAGTTTCGTGGACAGGAATTTCATAATGGATCAGCCGGTTCCTAGCAGCATCCAGAACTCGCACGAGTATTTCGCCCGAGGTCTGTGGAGTCCAGCATTCTCGCAGATTTGGCCACCTGTTTTATTATTATTAATTACATATCTGATGCCCAAAGCGTCGCAAAGAACGTCTAAGTTCCTCCCCGAGAAGTGCTCGATCAGACTTCGAAGTAAGCCTTCGTGCTGAATGAAGTCTGGAAATCGGATCCCTCCATCCAGGGCCGTTTCTAGGGGCGGGTGAAGCGGGCGATCGCCCGGGGCGCCAGCAGGGTAAAGGGGGAGGGGGGGGGGGCGCCGTTGGAACTTCTTGCCCTAGGCGCCAACACGCCTAGAAACGGCCCTGCCTCCATCCAGAAGGGTGATGACAAGACGCAAGAATCCCTGCCAACACTTGCAGAGAAACGGTTGCCCGGCGACCACTCGGTTCCTCGTTTCATCCTGTGCGAGCATTTCCACCAGTGGCGCATCGAGAAGTGAGGGAAATGCCTTCCGTTCTTTCCCTCCACCTGGCTACGCCACTGCCCTCCATTGCATCTGCATGTCGTCGCCGTGAGTTTCTGTGGGAATTGGATGGCGGATGAGTGGGAGGTCTGAGCTTTCTTCGCCGGCTTTTGCAGGCGCAAGACCATCGGGCCGTCTCGGGTCCTTCCTGGATCGACCTCCGAGCTCTCATTCGAAACGGCCGAGCATGCAGACTGAGTGGTCAGTGAGAGTTCGCGGCGGACGAATCGTACCCAGAGATCTCCCTTATCGCTCCATTTCCTTCGCGTTGACACGCCCATAAGAAAAAAAACCTACCCAAACAGCATGTTTATGTCAATTTTACGTAAAATGAATGTAATTTTTTTGTCCATTTTATATCATTTTAACGCAAACCAGTCAAGAAAATGTCAACATGTTTGCAGAAATGTCACCTCTGTGATATGTAAACGGTGATATAAAATTAAAGTGAATTTTACGTAAAATTGGCATTCCCGTTTGCATTCCAAACAGCATGTTTACATTCATTTTACGTAAGATTTATGTTAATTTCCCCCTGACATTCATGCGTATTTAAAGAGACAATCTGTACCATTGAGGAGAATTGATATACTGAATTTCCTATTTCTTTACGTTCCTTAGAACTCTAGGGTGGTTGGACGAGAGTACAAGAGTACTCATCCTCACCAGTACTCAAGAGTACCAAAGTGACCTACTGCTTCCTTCTCCCGTACTGGAACCTCGGGAGGAGTAGCTGTTCAACGGAGCTCTCTTCCTTTTAGGATAGAGATGTAATACTTGCAGGGCTGGGATTCTACTCTTCCCTAATCCCTTGCACTGCTGTAATAAAAAGCTTAACTTCAGCATTTAATGATTCCCTGAGTCATATATTATAAAAAAATATACACTTTGAGTTGAAGTGATCAACCTGTTAAATTGCATAACTGGGCATTGTATGGCTGAGACAAGGGTTCTGATGAAGACCTATTTCTTATACCAGCACCATGTAGCCTTCCAATATTGATTACTCATAATTTTTCATAAACTTGATATCATGTACTTCACATCAGATGGAGTGACGTCTAGTTAATGTAAAATACACGTACACTTTAGTGACGTGAATATAGGAACGTAAATTTTACGTAAGCGTGATGTCATTTTCATGGCAATCGCAATAAATTTACATTGTTTGCAAAAATTGATATATTGTTTACGTTTACGATATATTGTTTACGATACATTGTTTACACCTTATCATTGAACATGCTGCTTGGGTACTTCTGTTATAGTGTCGTGTGTTCCGAGTGTGAAGGACAATAAGAAAACTGTAGCTCGAATGAACCTCACTCCTAAACTCAATCTGGCTTTGGGAGTAGGTGTCATGGAATACGACTTAATCGGCCATCGCTGCATACCCACAGAGCTAAGTGTGCAAATCCTTATACGATTCTACACTGGCATCGCGCAACCCTGCTGTGCGATCGTGTGCGAGGAATACCCACTAGATGGCGGAAGATACTTATGTAGGAACGAGACTTCCTTTACTTCCCTCCGTAGACGTGCTTCCCTCTCCAACCCCCACCCTCCTCATCGAAAGATAGATCGACCGGCAGAGCGGTCGGATCATTTCCGCTAGCTGTGACACGTGGTCTAGCAGCCCGCTTGAGCCGTTACTTCCTTTGTCCCTCTTATCTTCTTCGCAGACGCCGTGAGGGTGAGACGGGTAACCACGTAGGCTTAGTCGATTTTGGGAGCTCAGTTGTGGACTGGTTGCCTGGCACAAATGGTAAGAGCTTTCCTCATCTGGGTCAGACACCTTATCATTGGATGTTTTCCATTCACAAGTTTCTTAGTCAAGTGAAAAAAACTATAGCATGGAACTTTGGTTTACCTTGAATGTATCGTTTACCATGTGTTGGCATATCTTAGGCCTAGTAGTGCCTGCTTGTACCGCCACTGAGGAGTAGCCGTAAGCCAGTGAGAGTTAATGGTTGCAGTGATTCGTAAATCGTTACGTGCTACCTTTACCATGCAAATTATGTTTAAACGTTAATGTTTCTTTGATGATGGGAGTCTCTTTAAAAGAGACATTCCCATGAAGCTTAAGGCCGTAGCGAATTCATTATATGAAACAAGACCGCCGTAACTCTAGCTGCACTAGCCCTGCAGATCATACAGGTGAAGCCCCGGTCTGATTTTTGCCAAGCAGCACAGTAATTGTTCCCTCAAATCAATAGACAAGCGAATAATTGATATTCTTGTGGGAACTTGATCATCGGCAGTCGGCTCCATCTTAGCGTCATTGCATGCGAAGATCCCTTTTAGGTGTAGATGGGAGTGCTGCAAGATGAGTTTAGTATGCTTGCCATCAGGTTTATCCCCTCTGGCTTTTCTACCCTTGTCATCTTATCAACCCCCTTTTTTATCCCTCATCTCCCTCCATTGCTCTTATCCCCCTTGTGCATTTGATGTATGAATCCAAGATGTCTGCTTGGCGTGATAAAGGTGAGCTATCCTGGATTTGTGTACTGAACAGAGAAAGACTGGAAAGTCCTACACACAAGTAGCTTCAGTTTCAATAATCAACGAATAGTGAAGGTCCCAGGTTGGATTGGGCTGTTAGGCAGTGTCTATTGGTTGAGCTGGGTCAACCCTGATGGGATGAGCCATGTCATGCTGATAGTCATTAGTCTTGGTTTTTTAAAAATCATTTTCTCTAGATATTGAATGTGGTGGCTTCAAGAGAAACTAGTGTTTAGCTAATAGATTAGAAATAGGAGAATCCATCTGGATCCTCTTGAGTTGAAGTTCATTTTTCAATCTTTTCCATGGTAAATTAATGAGTTGTCAGTTATGCATTGTACTTCAGTGAAAAATTTGGCTGTAATTGAG